ATTCGGTTACAATATTAGTTTTTTTTCTTTATTTCAGTTTAGAAATGAAAAAGGTTTTATGAAATAACTTGATAGTTTGACTAATCTTAGTATCTATGATATTTAATTACTATCTAAGTTCTAATTAATACTTAATCATAAGAATTCATAGATTGTTGAATCCTTTCTGGAAATAATTAAATTAGATTGTAACAGTTCAATTTATAGATACTAAGAAAGTGTATGAATAAGATATAACTAAAAGATGAATGGTGAATAAAATCATATGGACATGTTATCTTTCAATTTTATGAGTGATTAAATTAATTAAAATGTGAACTAAATTTTATCTAAACTAAAGTGGTCTTGTTTGCAGCTGTAAGTGATTTACTTTTTTAAATCAAAATCGTATTTAAAACGGATTCGAATAGTCGTTTTTAATCAAGTATCTTCTATGAGAGTTGTTAGATACTATGTATGTACAGTCTTTAAAATAGCATATTACAATTTCAAATATTTAATAGCATATAAATAATCTAAAACAACATCAGACATAAAACGCAGATGTTTAAAAAAGAATTAATGAATCTTGAAATTTAATGGTTGTGATATCATTTAGTGTGGTGATTATTTTCAACCTGGACTCTTACCAGCTGGAGAATGATCAATTATTCACAAGTGATGCAGAACCTGGCATAAATGTGTATTAGGCCTAGTTCCCATACTACATCAGCACAATGAAATTAAGTTATCTGTATGAGTAGCAAAGGAATTGAAAATAACCGTACGAATGGTATTGACAAAAATAATGTGTTGAAAAATCAGATACAGAAGACGTGATGAAAAGGTTTCCATAAAAGACATAGATACAGAAAAAAGAAGGGAATAAATGCATTCTCATCATATTGTCATGTCATTCAACGTCTTCAACCACAGACCATAGTTACCTCGCATACCAAAACTAAGTGGACTGCATCTACATGCTTATCTCAAATCAATATCCATTGAGTATATAAACTGGTGTTACATTCTGATCTGACCTCTATTATCCTTCTTTTAGCCTACTTTCACTCCAGCAAATAATTGTATGTTACGACAACAGTTGATTGTGTGTGCGCATGATATGTCCCAGCCACTTTGATTGATGAAGATTCATAGCCTCTTCAACTGGTCCATCCTTGCTGCTCAGTAATCTATTGCTTACCTTGACAAAGACAACCCCGTTATTCCTCAATACACAAGCTATGCTCCAAAGGCGTCTATGATTATAAGCGTGACATCTAAACACGTGTTTTACTTACATCGACCATTTTCCCCTCTGTAATCCAATGATGAGTAGACTGCTGGTCAGTATATTCGCAATTTTCGATAAATGAACACGTTTTCTACACTTTGACTGACGTAACTTAATAAAAGATAAGTGAGCTTTCCAAATCCGTGCCTAGATTTTCCCAGGAACCAATCCACTAAGAGCTAAGGAAACCTTCAGTACCAGACAAATGGTCGACTTCCTTAGAGTCGCTTATTATGACCAAACTAGGCGATGACTCAAACCTATCTTGAACAAATATTTAACAGCCAGAGGGAAAAAAGTTTTAAAAATACTAATACCATTAGTCAGAGAGGTTAGGACACGCAACAAAGTTTCCTCAGCGTTTCTACCAAATGGAACAATATAATTCATGTATTCTACATTATTAGTAGTTTCTCATTAAATACATCAGTCTTGTAAAGGTTGCATAACAAAAGTGAAACCTATGGGAGGACGTCTATGGTGAAATTAAACGGAATCTAGAATAGTAAATGACCCTGAGGAACGCCGTTTAACGTTAAAAGCCCCGATTGTGTAAAAAATGTCTTTTTACTAATAAAAACCAAGTGAATTAGCCAAACCTTATGTCCATCAATATTTTGTTCACCCATGTTGAAGTATGGCATCTGACATATGACATTCAGGCTTGACAAAGAATAAACATTATGCGGAAATATTCGGCCTACCTATAAACGCAATTACCTTTGCCTATTTATTGCTCTAACAATTATTACAAAAACTGTGATGTCAATTAAACTATCGTATTAAATCATTATTCTTCTAATGAACTGAAATAGATAGCTGCAATTAGTCTGAGGAGGATACTTCACTCGCTGAACATATTTCTATTAACTTATTTATCGCACCTAATCTATTCCCAGGATAAATCTATTCTTCATTGTTATTTTTATAGCTCTAAAATCCACATATATAACAAACTCAAGTAGTGACATTTAACGTTTAAGGACAAACCAAAGCTTCTCCCGTATGTACACAAGTAAAAGATCGTTTTAAAAAGCTCTGTTGTTTGAATGTTACATTTTTACCTACAAATCCATTAAATTATACTCATTTGACACATGTTATTTAGTGTAAAATACAGTCATATTTTTCTTGCTTAATAGTTTTTCGGATTTGACTGTTTTGACTCACTAAAACCTTCTATTTTTGGATTCACTTCGTACTGTTTGCTTGTATCTTCCCATTGTTGTTTAAGACTTCAGCTGATCAGTCTTGTGTTAGCGCTATTTTCGTTTTAGTTACTTTGTTTCAGTTGATATGTTAAAAGTTCTGTTAAAGATTTTTTGAATTTGAAAAATATGTATCAATCACATCGAAAAACTTATGAAAAGAAACCCTCTACGAAAAAACATACTGAAGAGTCAAATCACAAATAAACTAGTATACTGTGTTTATTTCTAAGCAACAAAAGCTTCGTTTCTTTTAGTAGTCAAAAAATAATAATAACTTTAATTCAAATTTCTCTATTGTTTTACAATTAAATATCCATTTTCAAGTCAGTCAACAATAATGAAAGCTGATAACTTGAAAAATAACACACAAAAACAGATATATACTTAACCTTTACTTTTTTCTATACCTACACTAATTGCTTGTTGCACCCTGTTACCTACTAATGCTTATTCTCGTCGGGACTTGTAAAGTGATCAACCTTATTGTAAATGTTAAGTAAGCCATTAATAACCACACTAAGTTGTTTGTACTTGTTCTTATATAAGTTACGATTGACTTTTCATATAAGACTTTTGTATTTGCATGTTTTTTGTGTGTTTTTGTCGATTATATTCAGTTTTTCTCGATCATTAAAACTGAGTCATGGATTAACACGCTGATCAACTTCGCGATCCATTTAAATATTGCACAGTAGAACAATATGCTAGACAGTGTTAAATGTGAGTGTTAGCCTGTAAACTTGTTTTTTTTTGTCATACAAAATATGCATATTTTTGCTTATTTGAATCAGAATTTGAGCTAGAAATGCATTTAATTAAAAATCAATACGTTTCCTATAACAATATTATAAATTTCCAGAAGTCTATCTAATAATAACGATAAATATGGCAACTGAATATCGGTACGCGACTAGTTTCTGTCAAAGTTCCTTTGAATTCTGGAGGAAAAATTCAAAATTTGCTTATATATTAAGTACTACAGAATTTTAATAGCTTATCGTAGCTTATGATTATTAGTCCTAGACTGAAAAATAGGCATCCACTAGTTCTTATAATTGTCGAGTAACTGAGAAACTCACTGTCAGACTCAACACTTTTATGAAACGAGAACCACTACACAGGGACCTTGTGTTAAAATATTTGATCAGATTCAAAGTTTTTACCCAGAACTATAAATACTTTTATGCAAATTTTAGGAAATAACATGCACCTTAGTAAAATGCAGTAAAAGACTTCGGTGAAAGAGTGGAAGATTCACTAGTTCACGTTTACCTTAATCAATTTATATTTTAAAATGTACGAATAAAAAGTTAAACGTTTATTTTGTTAAGTGAGCCCAGTTTTGACAAATGAAACGGTTTTGAATTGGAATCTTTAGTTTAGAGCAAATTAAATAAATTGATCAAGTATAATGTCCATCAATCACAAGCCTTACCCTATAAATACTTACGCATAGCACTTGAGATGATTTTTTGTCGTGTTAACTACTTGCTTGTGAAACAAAATCATTTACTTTAAAGTGGTATCAAAAACCTTCTATTGATAGCGGGTTATTTTTTAACATATTGAAGCTTTCTGTATACAAACATTTTGAGAAAACCTAGACTGATAATCAGAATTCATTCGCAGCATGAAAGCTGTTTATGAAACTTTGAAAAAAATAACGGAGAAACAGGTGACTGAATCAACATTGATGAGGCGAATGAACAAAAAATATGAACAAAAGTCTAAGGATAATTCATTTTAATAAAGAAATAAGCTATACGGTAGTTTGTGTATTGCTACATTTCGCATTAACTTTTAGTACATCTTTTTTCATCCAGTAACAAAAACTGGAAGTGCAAACAGGATTAAACCTACAATTATTATGAACCTGAAAATCCTCAAACTTCTAATGCAAGTGAAAATCGAAGTTTACGTTTTATATCCGAGCGATGTAAAATCAAAAGTAAATATAGTATCGCAAAATGTTGTTGAAAGTCTAGTTAACATTACTTGACTCCAAATAATACATGATTCCTTGACCCTATACAGTTGGGGGCTTAAATTTACCTTCGTGATATTTGGAAGCTTCAAAAATGATAAGCTTATCCACGCCATAACTGAACATTAAAATCAAAAATCAAGCAAAACACTAACAATAAAATTCAAGCGTTATCATCTGAACGACAGACAAATATAAATTCAGTTAAATTTATGCGAGACCAAGAATGTCGAAAACACAGCAAAATAGAAAACGCAGTTCTGATGTTAATTAATGAAGTACATTCAACCAACAAGTATATTTTTTTACTTGAACGTATATGATAAACACTAATTTCTGAATTCTGCAAGCTACGATGGGTGTCTATGGAGACTGGAACAATAATTAGCATCGCAAATTTTCGTAACACAGCTGTGTTAATACTTGCTGTCAGATTGTGTATTCACGGGAGTTAATAAAATTAAACGGCGAAATTCTTACGGCAAATTTTAATCAGTATTTTTTAAAAACATTTTATGATCCCATATCTTACCGCGACATCACATATACAAATTTCTATTGAAATCGTCAAAGTTCATCTTAAAAACTTTACGTTGATCAACTTAAACAAAAATGTGAGTATTGAGCTGTAATACTTAGTAAATGTTCCACTTTTAAAATGACATTATTCATTTATAAAATTGTCACTTTCATTTTTAGCTTATTTCGTCACACAGTTTGATAAATATTTCAAAAGTTGTTTTTATTAGGTTTACATCGATTTAATAAATCCTGGGGTTAAGCTGGTGTGAATGCTAATAATTTTTCGTTTCCTTTGTCTACCGATGAACATTCTGACACACTTTCATTACGTAGCATAGAATACAACTGTTCAATACGTCGAAACTTCCTATATATTGTGCCCTAACCGTGAAAAATCTATCTAAAAACCCACCGTCAGATCTCGCTGTGGATATTAAATGGAGCTTTGTGGAGGAACATGAGGTGATTTCAGGGTGTTATACCCTCGGTTGCGCACTTAAGCAAAGAGTATGACTTCTGCATTTCGTCTTTCGTTTGCTTGTCTACCGACCGGACGGTCACAAGGTATTTGCTTGATCTGAACTTCAGTTTGTTCTCTTGTTTCTCTGGTATCCTCAAAATTTTCCGACTATGCGCAAACGTTCCTCGGTAAATTAATTAATTTTAATATACCATATAATCGTAAGGTTGCTAATTACTATGAGGTTAAATAAGTAAAAATGGATTTCACTACTATGCTTGAACTATAAATTGGTCATCTGTTTTGTGATTTATCCAACAATCCTCCCTAGAAAACTAGGTGTCGCTAATTACGACAGTTTAGTTCAAACAAATAGTTGATTGGTTATATAGCCTCGCCCGAACAAGCGGCTAGAGTTATGAGACATACTTACGTCGGTGAGTTGACACCTGTAGTTAGATAGAGTTGTCCTTTGTAATACAAGGGAACATTATATTTAGCGGCCAAAAACATTCAATGAGACAAACCAGAGCCTATGACCAACTTCTGTAGGGTCTTTAAAATGGCAATCTCAAAACACAAAATTCAACTCAGTATCAAAGACAGAAACCTCCAATCCTACCTAAAAGAACAGACTTAATTTGAAATTATCACATTAAAAAGCGATTAGACATCTATGTGTGGCTGTCGTTTTCATACAAATGCATAAAGGAATCATTACAACATTCATAGAAATTGTGATGAGTTGCGTGATAGTAATAATGAAGTTTGTCAAAAAACATTTCACGATTTAATAAATACTCTGAGGTTTCATTAACTGACTTTATTATTTTTGTGTTCATAAGGTTAAAAGATTCGATTCTTCATTAAAAAAATTTCAACTCAGAAAGATATGTTGTAAAATATTAGTGGATAATAGGCCGCTGATCAGAGAACTTGGATTGAGTAACCTACTTATGAGAAGGAATCGAGGTCTATCCGGGCGTACGACAGTGAGACAACGCCGGTGTTTCAGGATATAACAGCTACTTTGTATTGCACACATGAAGAACTTCCAAATCATTATGGGGAAAATTACAGACACCAAAGCATTCCCAGCTATATTTTCAGCTGTAAAATGATTATATTTATACTAATATATGTCTAAGCTGAATACGCTAACTAATAACAGAGTTGAAGTTTTGGAACCATTGATGTTTATACTTTTGTACCGAGGTTGGATATTTTTACCCTGAACTAGTTCTCGTTGCACCTAGCTGTTTAGTCCGCATGCATGTCATGACTGAAGATAAGAACATCTATATCCTGATAGTTAGACAAAACAACGTAGTTGTCACTATCAACGAGAAGCAAACTTCGTGGGGTCCCTTTAGGGGGTGCTTGAAAACACCCCACACACACACACTCTTGTAACTTGTTCTTCTTGACTCTTTCATTTGTACATCTCGATGAGTTTCTGACTCTAGTCAGGCTTACATTATTTATCTTATTGTGATTTCCGTTTTTTTACCTTTTCAGTGAATTTGTAGGCACCTCATAGACTACACAAACGTTGTTTCACTTTATATTCGGTCATTTAGGCCTCCATATTGATTTTATTCCTATTTTCGTTTGCGTTGCTTGAAATGTCTGGAATTATCCACTTTTGATTATGAACTGAACCTCTGTATTAGAACTGGAAACAACTGGTGCCATAACAGGTGAGTATTGTTCCTTGAACAATATGTATATGATCCATTCACAAAAGGTAGTATAAAATTTCCATACTAATACGAACGATTGCATGTTGAACGTTATTTGACTATCCATTGAACACTTACTGGTTTGAGAACATGGTGGGGATAGTAGTAATGTGCATTTAACTTTGCTAAGATATTCAGAACTGTTCTTCATTCAACCACTTTGTTTTAGATTTCGACTAGATGAGAGCACTCACAATTAAAATAACTCCAGCAGTTATTCCTCATCCCAAACCACTTCAGTTTGGAAGCCGTAAAAGTTAATCTGCAATTGTTTACTAAAGCTGAATCTGCGAAGGTGGTTGGCGATTGCTAGTAAAAAAGCTGTATGCTGTATGATCGTTCGTCTCTTTTGGTACCAGAAATCGACGGGCAAGTCCCGTACTATTATTTTAAATCTAATTGTAAGTTATCATTATACCATGACTGTTACTGAGTTTTACTCTCAATCTTAACGATTATGATATCCGATCTTACTATGAAAAGTGAATTTTACAGGCGCACTTGTAATGACGTGGCAAATTCAAAAAGTATCATAGACAATAATTTAGCTATTCATCTGCATTAGCAGTAAACCATAGAGAACTGAGTAATATGTAAATGTGATTATATGAACCAGGTGCGTTTATGAAATGTTTACGACATTTTGCTGTACAAATTACAAAAAAATACAATCAGAGATATCGTTGTGGCTGGCGACAAGCACTGAAAATAATGCACGTTATTCGAATATCACTTCCTGAACTACTAACATCTAACTATCGATCACCTAATATTTATAACTAGGATCGGTCAAGAAATGAGAAGAGGAAACTTGTTGAAATACGTTTAGCCAAGAATTCTAGATTGTACCAAAAATATAATATTGGATAAAGTCATCAATAACAAAAATGATAATCCGAACACACTTATGCGTACTTTCAGTGATCTGATTGCCTAATTCATAAAATTTTACATCAAAGTTCCACAGTTGTCTATACTGAGTTGCCCTATGTGACAGTTTGTGGTATTACCCTTGAAGATCATTAAAGAATATATGTGAGCTATCGATAGATCAACACATTAAGTAGAAATCAGATGAGACATAGTGACCAAGCCCGCGTGGCTGAGCCATACGGTCTGTATCAAGCGTTAGTATGTTGACATTTCCTGGTCTTCCTCAAGGGTTCAACGGTCAGTTATATGTATTTTCAGATTTCAGAAATGTGTGGTTAGGGATCACTTTTATTTCACTGTCAACACGGTCTTTTCTTTTCAAAGGGATATTCGTGGTATAATTTTGTATGCTTGTCCCAACCAAGTACGACTATGTTATCTCTGTTAGGCGGTCAAAGTTTGCAATCGTTGGTACATGACTATCAGAAAGATCGATTTGGTTGCACGTCATCCAAGGGTTATAATACTCATCATTTGTACGACGTTACATTTTTTCGGGCTCATACATTTCGCCTTTTGTACACTCAATGCGCCCTCCCAACACTTTAAATAATAAACTTCACGTTATTTCTCTTCAACAATTTTGACTGGATTAGGCTGATCAAATGACTAGCAATTAATAATATTTCTTCACTCGTTTCCACAACTCATATACTTCTATACTTTTTCCGCCTTCTTAAATAAACAACTATCCTACAATATACCCTTCTTAACGCTTATACTCTGATTGGCAAACTATACTTTATACTATAGTCAACAGAGGCACTGCATCGATGCTTTACCCACAGTCAACAGCTTGTAACTGTCTGATAAGCTTGTAAAATGGTACTTATAGAAATAATGCTTTCCAACAGGTTGTGAAACAGAGGATTGTGCGAGGTATGACGTATATACAAAAATAATGTTAAATGAGCCCAACATCACAATAGGAGGGAGGGTGGAGTTACTGACCAGCAAGTATTGATGGTGAGGGCGATAACTTCAATCCACCTGTGTTTGTGGGGACAGAACATTTTGTATGTATCAGGTTCCTCATGATTGAAAATAAGTCAATCAATCTGTGATGTAGATTGTCTTCCTACGCTCACCACTCAAACTCATGTTTCCAATATTATACTGTATTAGCTATTCTACTAAGACAATCTATAACATGCTAACTCGGACTTTTACAATAGAATTGTGTGGCTGGCATCGAATAGACAAAAAGAAAAAAATTAGATAACAAAAGATATAGTCATTAGTATTCTTAACACTTCACCCTCTATATACACACCCTTCTTATAAACCGCTTCCCATGTAGCAACCCTGACTTCCCTTCCTCCATATGAGCTTACTCCAACTTGTTAAACATCACAACTCATTGTTCTTTATTAGTACATTCTTTAATATGAAGCCTCTGACTTCACTTCACTCTAACAAGACATAATATGAATTTATTCTAATTTATTATACCTCTGTCCGTTTTACTACGCAATGTTAAGCAACGTTTGGCGTTCATATCCAAGTGCTTGTTCTTTTTTTCTTCTTCAGAATCTTGCTCTGAGAGCACAGCTATAAAACTTCTGACGTTTAGAACAAAACTGACGTACGCGTCCTCTCAAGGTCATAGTTTACAGCAAGCGCTCTACGATTGCACTTTATAACAACTATAAACTTAATAAGTTGGGAAATATTTTGTGGACCAACAAATGTTGTAATTTATAGATCATGCCTGTAAAAACGGTGTGTACCTGCACATGCAGAAATATATTATTATTATTAATATTATTATCACATTCAAATAAATATGCACGAAATGTTGGGAAACAAATGTACACTTTTCAAAAGTTGAGCTGTAATGTGAACAGATCGGCTGGTTCTTACTGTCTTCACAAGTATGTCACGGTTGGTTAAGAGTATGAAAAGCAGAAGGTTCATACGGATGATACGTGCTAGTGGAAAACCTTAGCTATCTCGAAGCAATTCGTGCCTCGCATAAAAATGATTAGTCGTAAGACCTGTAAACAAGCTGAGGGATAGAAGAAAATGCTGGCTCACATTTATATAACACCTCTACGAACTACGAGTACATGAAAACCAATCACCACGACACATGGCATAGGTGCGAAAGTGATACATGAAAAATTTGACAAGGAGAAGCAAAAACAGTAATCTGGTAGTGATCAACCCGTTAGTACTCATTCGCCCCATTTTACTAAAGTAATCACCATCACTTTTTAAAATAGTAAAAATAATCCACTCCCGCCACAAATTTCAAAACAGGAGTTGAAGGGAATCGAGTTTTGACCCAGGTTATTTTTTCAGCATGTTGTTCACTCAATTAAGGGTCTGTTTATCAAACTAATGAATCAGGGTACTACTCGCACTACTATAGCGAAAGTTTTTAGACTGGGTAATCTGGCAGCGGGGTTGGAGGAAAATCAAATGAGGCTTTCTAGGTTATTTTTAAATAGACAAGTGAAAAAATTTAAAACCGCTAACAGACACAAATTTTAGTTATCCGGAGTTTTTGTCCGTTCTCTCATTGTACGTCCGTATTTGTGTAACAACGATACTATCGACAGCCACGGAAATTTGAGCTCACCTAATAGTGTCCTCTGGGCGGAATTTACTGGAGAACAGGGAGGAATGAACTGAGAAGTAATAGTTGTACATTCCATACTATGTTCGCTATTGATTAACCTCTTTACGTCACTAGACTATCAAACTCAAACGACTACTATCGACTCGTCATGATGCGGCTGCCCTATTTTTATGACCCTACATCAAAGTTTCATTGTTGCTGTTCCAACTTACCCTACAATAGAGGTCTGGATGTCTCTTTTAAATAACAACCTTTGAAGAATAAATGAAATCCCCCCAACAAAATAACATTTTAAATATGAAACCGGAAGACGTACATAGCGTGACTATGCTTTCATGATCATAACGTGCGGTCCTAACCATGTTCTCGTGTCTGTCTTTTTCGATCTTCAATTCTTGTTATTCACCACCCAACATTCAAAGGTGTGATTTCTAAGGCAGGTTTTATAAGGTTTGAAAAAGTATGTGATTAAGGTTTAGAGACATCACATTTTCAAATATTCCTCTATGATAGCCATTTAAGACCTTAGTCAACTGAAAATTGTATTCTAACCTTGTAGAAAACGATACATTTATTTTTAGTTGTATTAACAGATGCCATTGTTTCAGCAACAATTAGCGTTTCTTAACTGCTCTTTCAAGTGTGACGATTACTTATCCTGCCCTAAAAGTCGACCTTTATTTTATTGGTTCGGAACTATTCGTGGTATTTGCACTAATCGATGATTCCTTTGTGCTTGATTCCGTGCTTATTACTAATTCTGAACATAATACGCCCAGTCGCATTCACTCTGTTCTCCCTGTCTAAAGTAAGACTATTCTAGGCAATCTCAGAAACTCGCTCCAAATAATTCTGACTATCATACTAATGCATTTCGAAACACACTGCTTTTAGTCTCCGCAATTTACCTATACTTTTTTAATGACATCTTGTTCTGGCAATTGCAATTAGCTTGAGTTCTACCTAATAAAGAAACATGAAGCGGTAAACAAACTCCCAGAAACAGCAGTCCTGTAAGTCACAGACAATAATGCTGACCTCACTAGTTTTACTGGACACACTCAAGCTGAATAAACTAAGTCACTCATCTGCACAAGATCACGAGTGGGTACTCCATGGTACGCGAACCTAGTAACTGCTAGCCAGCTTAGACGAAACGCTCCTCGACATATTGTAGTGAACAAGAAGACGAGTGGGGACAATGGAGTGTTTTGAACGCGAAATTACAGAGATTACAGAGTTCTACTTTCTTCGCTTAATACAACGCCCCATATACACTCTGGATACTGTGAGCATTAAAGAACTCGATGTCTCCGGTCTGCTAAAAAACCTTTATATAGGTAGATCCGTGTGACCAAGTGAAATTCATCACAGTTTACTGAAGGAACTAATGAATTTATTCGCCATTTCGTTGGGCGTATGTTTTCATGTAACTGACCAGGGTGGTTGTTCAAAGCTTGAAAAAGATTCGGAATTAACTGTATAAGTATCTTAATGAAAACCAGATCCTTTCTGAAAGACGGTACAGCTTTAAGACAGGTCATTCAAATCTCACAAACTTATTGATAACCCATGAAAGTTAGTGTGCTCTTGAAGACCGAAAATTACCTATGGATGGCAGTCAGTCAGCCACAACATACGAATGGACACAAATATGCATCGGTTCAAGTTGATGCACTTCATTGGCACACGATCAACACCAATCTAATACAAGTAGTTAATTTAGTTATAGTAATATATAAAAAGACGTTTGTGTATATGGATATAGTACAGGAAGTAAGAATTAGTAGGCAAAAAGAAAGGTATAAAGCAACTTTAATCTCTAGCCGTAAGGAAAGACAAAGAGTGTATACACCTACACAACTGTAATCGATTCTGAGCCATGTCACCAAGAGTCTCTAACCATTATTTACACTGGTCACAAATTTCTGTGAGAAAGCCGCCAAAGGTTTTAGAATCCTAAGGTCAATAAACAGAGCCTTTACTCATGCTGATACTAAACATTTTTGATCTTGTACACAATTTTCACTCATTCTAAACTCAAGTATTGCATACAAGCGGCCAGGTTTTGTCTGAAAAGTGACAGCGAATTATTGGAACAGGCTAGAAGAGCCACAACTATGCTGATCCCCAGGATCTCAAAGCTCTCGCATGACAAAAGACTAGTTAAAAACATACATATATAGATGAATCAGAGGTGAATTGATGACATTATTTAAATTACTTGATGATCAAATGAGAGACTACCTCTGTTAGAACTTACATAGTCCACCAACTTCCTGTTTTTACGAGCTGAAACTGAAAAAAATCAGACTCAAAATTACCTTTCAGTGAGACTTTTTCAAGCAAGTTAATGAACAAAACGCTTTAGATTAGGCTCTATAACACCAAAGAATGTTGGCAAAGGTAGTAAATGGTTTATCAAAAGGATCCGGATATATTAGATATTATAGATATTTTGAACGGGCGCCCTTCTTGATCACAACGCCACTGGGATAATGCCTGATGCGTTGACTGTTGATGAGTTTATTGGTGACACTCTGAATGACGTCAGACATCCTCTCAAATCCGATTTTATTTCAAAAATTTCAAGTGTGAGGTGTACAGTATACAGCCTAGACGAGGTTAGTTTTTTATTCTTAAAATAAATTTTTCATGTCGAACGTATACATATATATACTTACCATTATCTTCTTTTAGGGTTTAGAGACAGATCGAAATGTTCTTATACGGTCAAAGAAATTGGTAAAGTCAGTTGTCGCCTCTGGAATAGGTAATTCTTGACCTTTATTATTTTCCCAGCATATGCTGAACAAATAACATTGTTATGTGACTTTTTAGAAAGACTTGGTCAAATAGCTTTGGAGGGTAACGAACCCAATGGGAATGACATTGCCACCAGTCTTTGCAAGTTCTCCGTTGTTCACCGGGACTTAGCCAACATGACAAAGCATTTGGTGAGTAGTGACGTATATAGTTCTGACCTTTTTCATATAATAACGTCACAGAACGAATAACATTTTACAATAAAATCAAATTTTTTTAACTTACCCAATTCTTTATATTTAGATGCAAAATTTAAACAGTATCGTAGTATTTCCAATGGAAACATTTATGCAAGGTGATATTAAAAGCGACCTCAAGAAACCCTTCGAGAAGGCACTTAAGGATTATGAATATAAATAGTAAGTCCCTTACGTTTATTGGGGTATTTCAATAAGTGCTTCGTCGATGGACTTGAAAGCAGCTTGCTATCTTCTTATTTATATTTGACATAACTCGATGATAGGCGTCGGCATACTTGATTTTAATCCATTCTTGAATATTACTGAAACTACCAAGTTATCCACACTGAAGCCACATACAAGCAGCTGACATTATCATGCTCTATTGTTTGAAACCAAAGAGCCCTAAATGACTTGTTGGGTTTTCGTAGTTTACAATTTTACTCTTGCTGAGTTGTGGTACATAATTAATGTAACGGGCAAGTTTAAATGTATTTTATTAAATGAATATTAACACAAAATTGCTGCCACAGGGAAATAGTATTTGTAGTTTTTAAAATAAGCTATTCCGTGATAAATGTCTCTGAAGTGTGTGTTTTGAGGTTCAAGAGACGTTCTGTCTTGGTTTAAAGTAGATTCAAGATAAATTAGTAATAATCCAACATACAATCCTGTCATCTTTTGTATCTTGGTTAGTGAAGTTTTAGTTGTCTGCAGTGTACTTAGTGTATTTTAATATATCGTGCTTCACTGATGTTGGTTTCAAACTAATTAGTTATATTTTATTTTCGTTCCAAAATTAATGAATAATTGATAATCAATTCCAGATTAGTCGTTGCATTTCAGCTCCTGTGTTTAAGTGACCTATGTACCTAGTCATTCATTTACCGACAGGTCTACTTGCCTTCGCAGTTAAAGGGGATACATACTCTGTCAAAACATTCATTTAGGGATTAGTAATCTGTTCATAAGATTTCCTAATACGTTTATCGATTGTTATTTTTTATGATACATAGTGATAAATTACGGAAGGAAAAATTACAAACAATGAAGGAAACTGGATGCTATGTTCCTGAAGCATTTACAGAAGGAATGACGAAAGATTTAGAGAAAGAACGTCGAAGGCTTCAACTTGAAACTTGTGAAGTAAGTTCGTTTTTTCATCGTAATGTATCAAGAAACAATAGTTTGTCACTGCAAAGGAAACGAAGTTCTCTTTTTCAAGTACTTATCAAGGTACAACATAACTAGAGTTAGCTTTGATAGGTTTACAAAACTTACACTGTTGATTTTAATCGATATATACCTCAGTCACTTGTGTATGAGTGCTATTATGTAATGAACACGTACCCAGTGGTTGCCTGAGTTTTGGACTAGATAGCACTCACCAGCAAGGCGCGTCTGAACTCATGAAGGGACTGATGTATTTTGTAGGAGTCGAACCCGTCACCCGGTGCTATCGTTGAGATTCCCAGGCCCCACATTGTTTTTCGTGTTTGCCTCTTTTGATATCACCAACCGATATATCCAGAAGTTATTTATCCCTCCTTTTCTTAAAAATATGTTTGTGTACTATCTGTGGTTTAATTTCTTCTTTATGGGTTTGAAAAATCGTTTAACCAGGAATCCATCATCTGATCCTTTTGAGTCTAATAAACGAAGTGAAGAGGTTAGTAGTCGCTCATTGTCTTTACCGTTACAGACCGAGTGACAAAGTTTTATTGTTTCGGCTTATTCTCGATTAAGAAAAGTGTTTCTTAAAACCACTCACTAGCTAGCATTCACTTGCTAACCTGCTTTTCTGTCATTCCCAGTTCATTATGTATGTTTACCATCACTAATATTTGATTGGGTGATTTCTAACTGTTCATTCCACCTAGAATATATTCACAACTAGTAAGGTTTTTCCAAATGAGTAGATTTCTTGTCATTCAGGTATCTGATTTCAAAGAATAAGTAATGTTGTAGTCGATGATTACACTGGGTTTTTTAGTGTATATTACTCTCGACAGTGGAGCGTTGCCCCAAAGCTTAAGTCGTTCAGCTTTCAACTACTAAGTCCTAGGTTCGAACCCACTCCACCTACTTTAGTTTGGACAACTGTGTATCAAAACTTTACATATCAAGTTGTATTTGTTTGGTATAGTAGTAGTAATAATATATGCCGGTCTAAATGTCATTATGCACAGTTGATTTGTGCATAATTATACCTGACCTTTTAAACTTTCCTATCTAATATTCTTTTAGTATCTGATCAAGGTGAATGAATTAAAAGCAAAGCGTGGCGCTGATCTCCTGCAGCATTTAATTGATTTCTTCTATGTTCAAACTCAGTAAGTTGTTTCTACTAAAAATCTTATCGTTGTTTATAATCTACATTCTGTTCAGATTTCATCTCACTATTTACAATTTTGTATCATTTATGCATGCATTAAAATAACAGCGAAATGTATTTAACGTTTATGTGAGTGAAGGGAAAAATATATGTATGATCACTGAGTTGGTAAACCTAAACCATTTGTTTACTTTCATGTATTTAAATAACCAATTTAAACGTTACAAGTGCGAAAATCCTCAATCATTTTACGTAACAATATTTTAAACTTTATATTTTTTAGAAATTTAGTACAAAATTAGGTGGCTTGTTGTTAAAATTTCCCAAGTTATTTCCGTGTCCTAAGCTCATCATTTTCTGATGTGAGGAAACTAATGTGATGGGAAAAGGTGGATAAATAGTCCAATACTTAACAGGAAACTATTTAGTTCGAAAAAGGAAGATCATTGCATAAAATATTTTAACCTTAAAGCTACTTGGAAAAGTTAAGACCTTGTAGATTTATGTAGTGGTTAGAATTAGTATATCGTACATCATCTCAAAAATCAGAGATTACAGGAAATCAGGAGAATAAAAGTAGCAAAGCATCAAAAAGCTAAGAAACAAGTAAATACATGAGGCGAAACTTATTAATAAGTTTCTCTAGACTCACAAAACCTTTTGGATTTGGTCAACTATTAATGATATTAATTGAACTTTCCAGTCATTGACTTCTGTTTTGTTGAAGACGTTTATCAGAATGCATCATACCATTTAAATAAAAATTTATAGACTGCTCTATCATAAAACTACTGTACGACGTTCACTGTACTTCAAATGTAAATATCATAGTACATTCAGGTGGAGTGGCTAGTTGAGAGTATTTAACACACACTCCCTCGATCATCTCAGGTATTGCAGGCACATTTATCCAACTAATTTTGCTCCTTTACATGGCATTTTTTATTTGATTGTATTATATATATATACCTCATGTGGAAGAACATTCTACAGTATTGATTGTAACAATAGTTCAAAGGGCTAGAAACAAGTGACTACATAATGAGTAAACTGTGATTGGAATAAAATGTGTAAAGCTCAGTTAATAAAACAAGATTACTGATCTGGTAGACAGTCGTAATAAAAAGACATAATGGCCATGTGTTGTCTAACCTATTCAGTAAAATTAAATCTCTTCGTGCTTTGTGATCTTCATCAGAAACAAGTTTACATGCTTGTTTACGGTGTCTTGATCTAAAAAATTCAGTGCATGAGGGTCACCAAGAAATGCTTTCTCTTTCATTAGATGGCATCACAGTTATTGAAAGGAAAATATCAATCACTATTTTGTATTTCCTAGTTAGACTTATAACTCATTTCGCCTTAAAACCTTTTTGCACTCCTTTGAAAAAATGTCGACAGTAAATTTTAGATTACTATGTAATATTTAATTTAGTCATTTAATCCATAGTTTCATACCAAAAGTAGTATGTCACGCAAAAATCTGTATTAGGACTACTACCCGAGCGCTCAAATCTAAGTAGATTACTTTCTTAGGGAGCTATTGTCCGAGACTTTGGTTTAAAAATCTGATCTATGAAGTAATGTAGCAACGTGAAGAGATGTTGTCCCATGATAACCAATGATCATAATTAGGTTCATGCACCATTCGTTCCTTCATGATCTTGGGGCCTGTGTACACCATTGGTTTGAAATCTGTGCTCTCCAACTACGTCCTTACATGAACCCTCTGTATCCATCAACATGATTTAAGTTCCAGATGTTCACATTTTCATTCTCTTACTTTCATAACCAACAACCTTGGGGTGTAAAGAGTGAATTGGTCTTCCCCAACAGAAACTATGGGATGCATGGTTATATAAGGACATTTCAAAAGAGAGAGAGAGTAGACTCTCCTCACACTCGATCGTACCGGAACATACACCAAATTGTATAATTTTATTCTACTTCATGGTTTAAATTTTCAATAGTAAAAGTATTCGCTGTCTTTTTCTTTCTGTTTTATAGTTACTTACGTGAATGTTTAGGTGTGATGGATCATTTTGGAAAATCAATGAATGATTTATCTAACCGAGTAAATGAATTACACAAAATTAATGATATGCAAAAACGTCGTCTTGTCGATACTCGAGAAGAAGTCAGGGGAGTTTTAGATAAAGAGGTAACTTTACGATTCGACTTTGTCGGCATTAACTATTGTTTCCTTTTTTTTTGGGGGGGGGGAGACTGGAATTTAGTTTAAAAATACGTTAATTAACCAATTCATTTTATCGAAATCATATTTAGTGTAGCCATTTGTTCATAGCGTGATGACTGATGAATAATGTGAATACCAATATCAGTTATAATATACCAACTTCTACTTGGAATAGTGAAAGTAATGTTGCTAGACATTATAAACTGTCATGATGAACAGCGTGTGTGTTAGTCGAAGCTTTTTATATAGATATTATTTTGAAGAGAGCAAGAATAAAAATTTGAGCAGAATGACATGAATTCATTTTATTTCATTTGTCTGTCATCAGCTACCTACGTTCTGTAATATTTAGAATCTTAACTACAAAAAAACCAGGTTGAAATTACTCTCATGAAAGAGTTCAGTTGGAAGTTGCTATTATCAAACATCAGTACACTATAGAAAATAAATAAATATATTAGACCAAGTATAATAATGTAAATATATATTTATGAGAAAGAATATCCTACGTTGCTAGTAATAAGAGACAAGATTTAGAAGCAAGTGATTACGTAATAACGACAATAATACTGAGTAAACCTCAGTTAAAATAAAACAATCGAAATAAAAATATGTAATGACGTAATTAATTGAAAGAAAGGGTTGAACAAAATTTTATGATGTAATAAAGGAATATTTGTCACTGAGGCAAGGAAAGATCATCTCTTTTTTAACACTTAAATCCGTTTTCTGATGTCTAATAGCAATGGCTTCAGCAAACGTTAGAAGACTGAGGCTTGACTGTTTATTAATCACTTTGAAAGATTGCAAGGTATCAACTTGATGTCTTATATCCAAGACATGTTTAGTTTTTACTCTATTTTCATGTAGGTAGTTTAAAATCATTTTGTAATCATAACCTTTAAATATTACAGGTTATAATCAGCTCAAATCTTTGTTCTCGTTCTTATGAAGAAAATAGAACAAACTATGTGTAGATATTGGTTCTTCATATAATCGAATTTCTAAGTAAAATAATCAATTTAAACTTCAGTTCTTTTGGACAACAACTATCTTCATGCAAGCAACGATGGATGGTGGCTAACAGTGGAATTCGCGACGCGCGTGTAGTCCTATTCGGGACCTTTCAGCTGAATGTATCTGCATTCCAGAGTTGGTGTTTACTTCGGGACTCGAGTCCAGTACCATTCGCTTCAGACGCCATCTCATTATCCACTTAGCTGCTGAATCTAGATAGTTACTGGCTTGTGGAATGTGCTGAAGCTTTAATTCATCTTTGTATTGTTTGTTTGAATCTTCCCATTGGTGTTTAGGACTGCAATTCATCAGTTTTGGATTCCACTGATAGCTACTATCCATCTCTGCTTATAAAGCTTGATAGTTCCGAGTAATTTATACAAACACTTATCATAAAAATACAGTAACATATTCTATTTTATTACATTTGGATCCGCTAGTTCATCAGACATACTGCTAGTTTTTGAATTTATTTATTTATTTTAACACATAGATATTCGTACAAGGAGGCACCAAATACATATGCGCCACACAAATCTCATTCGATATGTGTGAGGGCTGTGATACTACTCGGGTGCCAAGACCGAAGCAGGTGGTTTTTTTGGGGGTCCACTCCCCGAGCCTTCGACCCGAAGGTCTGATCCACAAGGCAGTGGAGCATCGTAAGGAGATGAAGTCCCATGGAAGCCGGTGACCAACAATTGGTTCATACGCCATTTTTTCCCGCACGATACTGGAGCCCATGTGCATCATTGGTTTGGGATCCGGTTAAAGCCCCGGACATTCGCTAGTTTTAGAAAGTTATCCATAGTTAAATGATATCACATTCATCAATTATTTCTAATCCATGCCACTTATATAGGTACAGTTACATATCGTACCCCATGTTTATTATTATTATTGTTTTGAATATACTTACTTAAGAGATCCTAGATCTATAATCGATAAATAACCGTTGTTCTTATTGATTTCGTTCCAATTATTTCTACTTTTTCGTTATTTATGCTTATGTACATATGTAGTGTGATTCGATTCGTCGGAAATCTCGTCTATTCGGACAGGTAATCATCTCTCTCCACCATTAAACCCATAAATATGTACATTATATGAAAAGTGTTTATCTGTTATACTCAACTTATAAAAAGTACCGTATGAAAATATCTCATTGTTAATTAATTGGATTACGTTGGTGTAGTTAGTTGTTGTATTTATTATATGTTCATTGTTTCTCGTTGTTTTGTGTTTATCCTTTATACTTTCTTGATTTTTCTTCTGTTTGGCTGTTCAGATATTTCTGTTTGTCAATTTTTATAGAGCTTCGATTGCGTAATTATCTACTTTTCTACCAGAAATTCTCTATGGTTTTGTCATATTATATATATATTGTCGTCGTTTTTAAAGGCGATATGATTTGTGATCAGAATGCATAATGTAATCAGTTTTTACTATGGCGGAGGTTGTGAATGTTGCTGGATTTCACAGTTTACATCACGAACTGACGTTAATCAAACAAGAATTGAAGACCAAGAAGGACGAACACAGCTGTTTCATCTTAGTATGAAACTTTTTAGTATCAGTGTTCATCTACAATCACACAAGGCGTCAGATACAAGTCATTTAAGTCTCATGATGAATTTAGATGGAAAGAAAACAACTATCCATTTTACTGTTTTTTGAAGAGATCACATCACATTGATTGTTCCATATAGATTCTAATCGTTGTCATACAATGTGTACAACGAATCTATTACCGATTTTAATATCACAATAATAAAATGATTAAATTGATCAATTAAATTAAAATAAGTCATACCATGTATCATTTGAAATCACCTGAATAGTTTATATCTATTTAAGTGTTAGTATTACTGATTTATATCTCAATAATTTGTTGCAAATTTAAGAAAGATTTTACACTATACAACTTATGAAATGCAAATTTAGTTAAGAGTTAAATCAAGTTTATACATTTGGGTTTCATTACCATTTGTTTAATATTGTAAAGTTTTAGTGATTGTTCTTTTTACTATTAAGTAAATGATATATCACACTGGTTCTGTTTACTAGATATTTTAGAAGTTATGGAGAAACTGTAATTTATGGACAAACCAATCAGATATAAAATGAATTTTGGCGCAAAATTCATTTATACATTTGGCTATATAGAATTTTGGCATTATAGTTGATGTCATTTCGTGACGAAAACTCTAAATCTAATTTTTAACCCTAACTATCAACTGTAAATGAAAATTTTAAATGGTTTTTGACTTTCATTTAATCGTAATCAGTAGGTGTTCACTCTCAAGGTCACTTCAGGGTCACTCAAAAGTCGTCCATAAATTATATTGTCACCGAAGTTATTTCTAATTTCAGAGGCTTTCAGTTTTTAAAATGGTAATAAACTTAATCAATTCTTTGTCATACATGTTTGTTTTGAGTGACACGCGGAATAATAACAGTATTTTAAGTATATTTAACTATCCTGTTCTACATGGGTAACCAAAGTGAATTTATGACTTCTTGTTTGTTCATTCAAAGCACTTGTCTCATATACATTTGTAGTATACTTCACGTTTAGTGGTCTCATAACCAGATTCATTTTTGCAAAAGGACATGTGTTCTTTATGAATACTGTGTATAATGTTATTCATTGACTGGAATAGTTGGGACACGTATTGCATATGCCTAACCACTGCCTACCTCAACTTGCGGTATTAGTTGGTATAGGAGTAATTGGGAAGTAAGCTAAGGACTGACTAACCAAAATGTGGTATTAGTCCATAAAGTCATTGACTGCTAAAGTTGTAGGCTAGTGCAAACCAGCTAGTTGGGGTGTATGTGACGATCGTGACCAATGGTTGAAGATGTTAAGTGGCATGACTTAGAATGAGTCACAATGACCTAGATACATCTTGAGTTTCGTAATCATTTTATACTTTTCTAGCACGAATTAATTGTTTCCGAATCATATTATCTATTCCTAATATTTTCTATTACCACTAATACTATTATTACTTCTGCTATTCGGGAATTTCTTGGTAATTTCATTTCACTGTACTGATGTGATGCACCTATTTACTAGCTCTTAAATTGCATATAACTAACTGTGTAGTGTTTACTGAAGTTGACGTAGACTAACTAGAACAAACTTCAAGTACTACGAAATTCACTAGAAATCACAAATCGACATCATTATATTGAGCTCTTTGTTAGGCTATATAAGCTACATAATAAATCAGTCTTAACATTATATATATATATATATATATTAGTTTATTGGGCTCTCAAATTTCTTGGTACAGCTGAGGATGTGAAGAGTTCTCTCTCCCTCTTGAAATGCTCCCATATGACTACACGTATATAGCCACTTCCAGTCTAATCTTACTCAATACCTTTTCGAGTTCTTTATAAAATTGAAAAGACGAAAAGTGAATGTCCGGCTGGGTCTTAAACCAGGTTGGTGATTATGGAGCATCCACTTAAAAAAAATTCGATAAACCTTGATTTTAAACCAATGGTGAAAATGGTCTTCAAGATCCTGAAACAACAAATGGCATATAAACCTATTATTGGTCATCGACGAATATGGCACTGCATCTCCTAACATCACTCCACTGCCTTGTAGATTAAACATCTAGGTCAACGGCTCGGTTATAGGCTTCCTAAAAACACTACCTGCCCTGGTTTAGGCACTAAGACAGTACCTCAATCCAGATACAAATCTAATGATAACTACTTTGTGTGGTGTGGTGGTGCTGTTTTGTACCGGTGTTAATGTGTTGTTTTTTATAATAAATAAACGAATAGAAGTATAATTAAAGCTTTTTCATGATTATATATGTTATCTTGATTCACATATTATAATTGATAATTCCCTTCATAATTAATGAAAATCAATATCGTTTTATTTTTGGTGCAATAATGTTATTCATTTAGTAGCAAATGATTTTTCTCTCGTATAAAGTATGTTTTTATTTTGTCGTGAAATATGTGACTCATTTGTATCTTGATAATTTATTTACAATTTTGTTGTAGTACGGTGCATTACTCTCAGTTTGTCTTAGTTTTTACAGAGAGCTTTATTGTTCACTTTGTGATTTTTTTTCTTCTTTGCTTTTCATTCATTCATTTTTTTTTGTATTTTTAGTCAGTACAAACTGGTGTCACGTATGCAGCACAACCAACTCCATTGAATCGAGCATTTGGAACTAAAAAAAGTGGATTTCTACTAAAAAAATCAGATGGAAAGGTTTGTTGCACTGCTTTTTTTTTTCTTAAATAGATGTGTACATTTACATAAAGTGGAAGTACATTATGGCGTAGTAGAAGGGGGCAATGAACTTAAAAGGATTGCGATAAATTTCCAACTACCTTTTAACCAATCAGAAAACATTATTTTGCAATTAGATAGTTTACTGAAAAGAAAACGGTAATATTACAGTGTAAGTAGCTTTAGACTTAAATAATGAATCTACGAAAGTCTTATACTGGTTACTTTACTTGTACATCTAAAGAAAAATGACATCTAAATTTGTCCACATGGATATAGATTATTCATTTGATCGAACTCTGTAAAGGACCCAAATAAATCTCTGAACGTCCCTACATTATTCTTGGTGTTAGGTTCATGATTTTGTAGGGGATGTTAGATCCCCAGAAATCACTTGGTAAACATCTTATTTTTATAATTTCATTCCCTCTTGTTACCAGGGCTGGGTTGCAATGGAATAGTTTAGCTTATCTTGTTGTTGTATTGCTAACTTGGTTCCTTTCGTAGGTTTTAAGTCCAAAAGACTATCTTAACTCTGACTATTTTTTTCCATTAATTATTATACCACCAGGCTAAAGTTTACTCCAGCATTCAATGTTTACGGTCAGGATTTAGGGATAGTGTCTACTTACCTGTTACATGCGATCTACAAAGCATTAAGGGTTTTATTTGCTCTACACTATCATTTCTACTCCATGATATTAAAAAGTGATATTTCCTCATTATTATACAAATTTGTTGCATCCCGATAGGAATAATGAATGATAATTTTTGGGATCCATTTATGTACCAATATTATGAGTATGTTTTTATCGTATAATTGTTATTTAACTAAACTGTTTATATTCATGCCCCTCTTATTATGAGCTTTATTTGGACCTATGAATTATTATTATACGATTTACCATTCATGAACTATTCCCTGTCTGTTAATCACTACCTCCCTCATTCGCAGCCACATTTGGCTAATTTCTGTACAAATGTTGTTCATATTTTATTGGTACGTTGTGATCGGTTTGTTTGGTATATAAACTCAGTATGCTTAAAATATAGTGATTCATATCTCAGAGGCTGAGACTTACGTTCTAGACTCAACTGGCTGGGCTAGACATGGAAGCGTGGCCAATCAGGACTCTAGGTCGTTTTCACGTGTTTTACGCGTCTTTGATCCGATCGATAATGCGCCTCGCTCTAATCTCCAGTCACAAGATATAACAAAATTTATTTCTTCTGTTTGTCTCGAATGGTAGGACATAAAAACCATTCATTTTTGCAATCTAACGCATGATTCTGTTAGTCGTTTCCTCTATTCTGAGTCGATCGTCTCCATACTGTTCTTCCAGGTTTCTAATGGTGGTTTAGCATTCATCCATTCATGATATCAATTCAAACTTAACAATCTCCACAAGCCTATACTGATTGATTGTTATTTTTTGTCACAAACTATCATTCTAATCCATATCTGGTTCTTACTTGTTAATTAGACTTTAATTATCTGAGTCCCATGTGATCTAGTATCGTGATCTATACATAGGATATTGATCGAATTCAGGGTCAAGTGTTCAGTCTAATTATTTAGTAATCGAATCATTCATTACTTTACAACATTAAAACAATTTTTCTTTGCTTCGCCTTGTTTTTAATTACTGTAAAATCATAAACAAATCATCTGTATGTTGATTTAGGACTGTTTTGCATGATATCTTCCATATTTTGTCCCCTTGAATCATATATGATTTATGCTTAACTTGTCTATTACCACTAATACTGTTACTTGTCATATTACTCTGACATTTCTCAATGTTGATGTATCATATGGCAGCTTAAATCGATGCACATCTATTCCAGGTTTTATATTGCTTATGACCATCATATCTTTTAAAAAAGAAAACTGCTAGAAAAATCAGAATGGGGAGTCGTGGGAATTCCAGTATTCGTGACCAGTGTAGTCCAATTCGTGTCGGGTGTGAAATAGTTATCCAACCCAGACAATGAATGAAGAGTTGCGCAAAATCATGGATCGATTGAAGTGGCACAGGGGTTAAGTGTTCGCGCACAATACCGAAAGTACTGTGTTCGAATTTCGCGTGCATGATCGTGGATGCGCACTGCTGAGGAGTCCCATACTAGGACGAAACGGCCGTCCATTACTTTCAGCTTTTCATTGGTGGTCTAGCTGAGATCAAGTTATGAATTCAACTGTTAAAATAATTTATCTTTGAAAACCAAGTTTTTTTTCTGTTTAGTACGGATTTGTTTGACTTTCCGTTATTCAACTATTTCGTTCTTCATTAATTGTATTTAAAACTACTAATGATAAGATTAATGAATCCTGCGTTCTCTTGAAGTCTAGTTGAAATGTCCCATAGATAATTCTGTCTAACTGAATTTAAAAGTCACTCTATTGTATTTTGAAGTAGTAACCTAGTGGTTAGCCCCCAGCTTTCAAGCTCCACTATGGTTCAAACAATTGAGATAGTAAGTATCATAAATCAACCATCCACAGTTAAAGTGTGTGCTTCATATCCAAGTACTTGGTGAATGAATTAATTTAATTCTAATTGTCTTTTCTTTTACTAAATGTATAAACTATTGACTAAACTACAAATTTATATACACACATTAATATTTTGTATGAAATCATTGTTGTTCTGTCTTTTTTTCTTCCAGGTTAAACGTGTTTGGCAACGTCGTCGTGTACACATTGCTGATGGGGAATTATGTTTGTATCATGCAGATGAAAGTAAACCACCTGTACGCCTAACTTTACTCACTTGTCAAGTTAAATTACCTACGGAATCTATGGATAATGATTCAGTATTAAATCATAGTACTGGGGCTGGTGGTGGTGGTGGTAATCAACACTCGACAACTTCAGAAGGAAAACTTTACTTTGATCTTGTCTCAAGTAAATATAACATTATTCTAGTCTTATTTCATAAGCCATATTCTACTATAATTATGGTTTTCATTATTGATATAATTACTGGAACAGTAGCGTTTATCTCCAACTAAATGCAAAATGTTACTTCAGAACTAGTCTGCAACAACGCCGAAACTAGTGATGGCGTGTGAAGCAGTTGAGTTCATTGATAGCTTCATTTTTATTGGAAGTTTCACCAGCCCTTGTGGGTTGATGTTTGAGAAAATCTCGACATGAAATCAGAAAGTTTGAATGATGTTTATTGATTTGGGTCTCTTGTAGAGTTGGCGAGATATTCGTTTGGTAACTGAGAGACGAGTTTGCTGCTGATTAGTCCACCTCGTTCTACGTTATTTGTGTTAGACTTGGACATCAAGAATATGGGATATTCGTAGGTTACTAATATTCAATCATAGATATTCTTTGAAGCATTACTTGTGTATTTTAGTTTCAGGAAGTTACCAATGCTGAGGTTAGACACGGAAGTGTATGTAAATATGCCACATTGACCGACGAGGTGGTGAATCTTTATAGACTTAGATAGTTAGGACATGTATTACGTGTGCCCATATACCATTTACTTTGATTCGCGGTGATAGCTGGTGTATGGGTAGGTTCTCCAATCATATATTCTATGCATATTCTTTCCTATTATCGCTAATGCTATTACTGCCTCTAGTAATGTGGGATTTTCCCTGAAGATTTCATCTCACTGTGTCAATAGGGTATGGGAACTTGAGGCGATGTATACATGCGTCAAATCTAACGTAGCTCTTGACTGACTGAATTCAGTAGTGTAGTGGTTAAAGCAATTTAATTTCAACTAGTAATTGGTTACATGTTTGAAAACTAACTCCTAGTTTGGTTTCAGCAGCCGGGTAATACCATTAAGTTCTCATATAAATATTGTGGCTCAAAGATTAGTAGTGCGTAAACCTCTACTCGTTAGGTGAGTGACATCTTATCGATATGATTACAAAAGGGCTGTCAGCCAATAGAATTCTAGGGGCAAACAGAATAAAAACGTAGTGTACTTGACAAAAACATGCTGTGATACAGTTTAGCATACAAAAAAAGTTGATCGAGAACAGTAGCATGAACTGGCATCATTATTAAAGATGTAACTGAAAACGGCGGAAAATAAACAAATTTAAAACAAAATGAAACATTCAAGAAGTGATATATTAAAGCAATAAATATGAAATTATATTTGTTAAGGCCTCAGAGGTTGTAATTAATTATTTCCAACATTTCTCCCATCTATCTTGTGATTGTTTATTCACATAGATAATCAAAATTATCGAAGATATAGGTCACACAAACAAGTTCGTGCCGAAAACGCACCGTCAAAACTTGTTTACATGTTGAATAGGAGTGAAATATACTCATTGATTCTTGGTCTAATTCATCTTCACAGGTGCAGATTGTGGGAAACCTCCAATACTTCCTCGATTAGGTCCGAAAGTATTTAGAGAAGGATAAAAATGTTTAGTTCAATCGACATCAAGTAGAAACTTATCAGAAACATTTTAACTGAACAACTGTTTTTTTTTGACACTAAATTCGGTGTATTTCTATAAGCTTCTCGAAGTTAGAGGTCATTTATAAATCAATAAATCAGCTTGTTTTCTCTACACAGATTGACCTTCAAGTTAAGTTTCCATCCTTACTTTACGCTTTTTCATTACTGTTTGCTTCCAAGTGTTGGAGTAGTCTAGGGATATAGAAAGCGCTTAGAAAGTCAATAGTAAACGTCTGAGTAACAGACATATCACAGACTATCCGTTTTTGGGTTTTCACGATTAACGTAACCAGTGATTGAAGGCGATGAGTGACATGATTCAGCATCGTTCACAACGGAACAAATCTATTCAGTTTTAAAATTATCATATGCCTTTTACTCCACGAATTTATTCATTTTTCTCTATTCTTGTTGTGTGCCTAATCGTTTTTCGCTATCACCGATAGTACTGTTACTACTACAGTTATTACTTTGACTTTCATTTCTGCTGATGTATGGTGTGGAAATGTGAGTCGTTTCATGTATGTGCCAGTTTTTGCATTGATTATGACTGACTGAAATATGCTCAGATTATGACATGTGAAGATTTGTTGTATGTAGTTCTCATAAATTCAATAGTCATATACTATTTGGATTTAGAAAATCCATGTCATGTAAGATTAAGCCTCATGAAGTTTTTAGATCAGTACACTACTATTAAGACAATATTATTAATATTATTTAAACGCATAAATATTGGCACAAGGAGGCACCAAATACATATGCACCACACTTCATCACTTGATTTATGTGAGTGCTGGGATACCCTCCGGGTGCCCAAACCGAAGCAAGTGGTTTTCTCAGGAAACCACTCCCCTAACCTTTGACCTAGAGGTCCGATTCACAGGGCAGTGGAGCAACGTCAGGAGATATAGTCTCATGGTAGCCGGTGACCAACAATAAGTTCACACGCCATTTGTTGTCTCAAGATGCTGGAGATCATGTGCACCATTAGTTTGGAGTCAGCGTTTCCCATCTGCCCTAGGTGAATCCTCCATATACACCAACCTGGTTAAAGCGCTGGATATTCGCTAACTATCTAAACAAACCGAGTGACAATGCAATTTTTCACCCTTCTTGACTTTAGTCAATGTTCTAACTAACTAACCCAAATGTCAGTATAGTTTGTGGAAGATCCTTTCATTTTGTTCATTTCCACTGACTACATCAGTTATCATTACATTCTATTATAACTCCAAACAGCTTTTATCTCGATATAAATCACTTCACAATTTATCATGAAATGTATGAATTGCTTCCCTGGTAATTAAGTGGTTTGTTCAGAAGCTTAAATTTGTGAAAATCATTGCAATACCATTTTTTCTTCCTCCTATAACTTTCATAGATAGTCGAACATATAACTTCCAGGCAGAAGATGAACAAGAATACGAAGAGTGAGTATTGACAAAAAGTTTTTATCAGTATAGTGTTGTGGGGATTGTTAAGTTTCGTTGAATTGACCAACTTATTATTGTTAGATCACCATTGGAAACCTGAATTCACTGGACACAGGCGTTCTCATGTGAAACCGAAGGTCATGAGTTCGATTCCCGCGCGCGGGACCGTGAATACGCACTGCCACCGAGGAGTCTCATCCTAAAACGAAACGCACGTCCGTTGTTTCTCAGGCTTTCAGTGGTGATCTATCACTAGTCGGTTCATGATTTTAATGAAAATATACGCCTCTTAATCTGTGTTTTACGTAACAGAGTTAGATTGATTTCTGTCACTCTGTGATCAATAATATCCTCTAATGCTTTAGATTATCGATTCTATTGTTACCGCTTACTAAAGCAATCAATAAATATATTATGCAATGCTAATATCTCTGTTGTGTGTATATTTGTTTTCATTGCTTACTTTACAGTTAAACAAACAGCTATAAGTAAAAAAAGAAAACTTATAGTTCCATTTTTATCCTCTCAGTCTTTGAACAAATAAGCATGTAATCCATCCATTTCATTCAATAACTTGTCAAACACAAATCTTCCATAAAACTGGATAGTATCTAGCAGTGTGGGATCCACGAATTGCGTTTTGTTTCATTAAGAACTCTTCAGCTGGATGATTCACCTGTCATATCCTAGTACTATTGTTCATATCGAAACCTGAGATTTAATCTCTTTCGATCCAAACACTCAACATGTTATCCACTGAACCACTAGTCCCTACGTAGTAACCAATATGAATTGTCTTAATAAAGCTTTGTTTAATTTCATTTCTTAACATCAATAACTGGGGTGAAAATACAAGTCTTTACAAATGAATAAACAGTGTTGATTAACTATTGTTGAATATTTCCTTTTCTAATTATAGATGGATAAGTATTTTAAATAATGCAATGCAAGAAGAATTTAACAAAGCAATGAATGGTGAAAATTATACAAATTCACAATGTGATCTATCTGAAACAACACTGAATTTATCATCGAATCGTCTCATGAGCACTAATAAATGTAATATTACTAATGGTGATAGCTTGGCTGCCGATATGGATTTAGTCTATTCAACTTTAACTGGTCAAAGTAATAGTCCTATGAATAATAATCCTTCGAAACATATGAAATCTGATAGTTTTGGAGATAGTCTACCAGGAAGTGAAAATGATTTATTAGATTCTAGGTAATAGTAATAAAACCTGTTTTTGTCATCTTGTCATATTTTCCAATTTTGTTAGTATGTAAATTGATGTTTACATGTCTTGTTTCAATTACTTGTGTATCATAAGTTTATAGCCTCTACTAGGTAGCTTTAAACCACTATTTTCACGTGACGATAGTGTTGCTCAGGGAATTTAGATGACGAAAAGTGAATGTTCAACACCTAAACTGGTTCACCCAGAGAGGAAAGTTAGAAAACCCTGACTCCAAACATACCAACGTATGTAAAATGAGTCCGAGATCGTGAGGGAAGTAATAATGTGTAAATCAGTTCATAGTTACCACCGGCTACCATAGAACGGCATCTTCTTACATTGTTCCACTGACTTATGCGGTGCATACTATTCATGGTGCCCAAATTTACCAAATTCTATGTGTGTGAAATAGAAGTATGATTTATACTTTAATTGGTTGACTGATCTTGTGAATGTTTTTTTAAATATGATTCAAACTGACGTAATTCTATATGGGATCTTAGTGATCTTCATATTTGATGTTACTCATTTAATGTTCACTCGTTTATGTGCTCGACTTTGCATGTAAACTAATAATACTTTTGGAATATTGAAACTGAAGTTTTTTTGGAATAAATCGAATCAGTGTTATAACGGTTAGAACTTAACTGCTCCAATCAATAGACTACTCTTTTTGTGAAGTATTATGTACCGAGCGGTGGCTCAGTGATTAAGGCGTCTGACTTTCAGCCACTAAGTCACGAGTTCAAAACTCACTCTGCTTTGGTTTGATCAAATGTACCTAGAGTGTGACTTGAAGTTCATGAATCCTCACCTGGCAAATGAGTTGACCTGGCTTTCTTATCGCGATGTCTGAATTTATACTTCTAAGAACGTTTCGCAATCGAACTCTTTTATTCACTAATGCGTAATCCCAGCCGAAACCAAAGTCAGAATCTTCAATACAAACGCCAAGACAGTTCTACTGTACGGAGTTGAAACTTGGAGAACTACTTCAGTCACCATCTAAAGAGTGCACGCATTTATAAACAATTGTTTACGTAAAATATTCCAGATCCATAGGTCAGACACCATCGACAACAACCTACTGTGGCAGAGAACAAACCAACTTCCAGGTCAACATGATAGTAAGAAAATACGTTAATGGTAGATAAAACATAGATTACGGAAATCATCAAACTGAATCACGAAGTAAGTGATAACTCGGAATCCTAAAGGCGACAGGCAAAGAGGAAGACTACGGAATACATTGAGTCGAGAACCGGAGGTAAACATCAGAATAATGAATGGCATTCGGAAAAGATTTTCCAAGACAGAGTGATTTCTTGAATCCTGTTCGGCGGCTTATGCTTCCACGAGGGTTGATAGGTGTAAGTAAACATAATAGCTTGCTTTTAAAGTAATGTGAAAAATAATTACGTAGATTCTAGAAAATTCATTGGTTCGTTAACTGAGATCACAAAGTGATCTCAATAACCTTAAACAATCTCTACAAACCCCTGTACTGATAATTAATGTGTAATGTCATGGCCAGTGGATTTCGACTGTGTCGTATGTGATACAGTTGTCTACCATATGTCTTGAGTTCGGGTCCCAGTCACTGGGTCATGGACGAACATTGCCAGTAAGGAGTCTTATGATAGGATGAAATAGACTTCCAATGCTTTTAAGTTTTCGATGGTTGTGAAACTGAAATTAGTTTGTGATCAGAATCAAATGCGGTAATTTCAGTAACCCCTATTTCTGGTAGGAAAAACCTCTTTCCTCTTTCCAAATTTATTTCACTGAATTATACTCTTTAAATAACATCTCCAAACCCTAATCTTCCCGATCACTGCTTACACTCTTGCTACCTCTACCACTACGGGATTTGAATCGACAACTGCATCTCTGTGTTAAGGTGGTGTGGCAACTCGAACTGAGGTACGTACGTACGAAGTTCTACGTTGTTACTGACTGACTGACTGACTGGTAGGAAAAACCAGTTTACTGTAAGTTATCGTTCTGCTCAAGTTTGTCAACTTAATGAGTCTGCAACTTTGTGTTCCAAATTCTTAGTATTTCGAAAAGAATCCACTGGCTTTGTCTTTTGAGATACAGTTTTCATATATCAAAAACACGACACTTTTATCAGAGTATTAGCCAAAGTTACCTAAAAAACATCTGATATGTAACAATCATAAATCGTATATATGTATTAGTTACTTCATTTGTCATTATTTTCTTTTTTCCCACTAGCGGTTCACAAATTAGTCGTTCACGTGAAAGTCACTTAGATAGTGCAGATGCTTTTTCAACAGATGGTATTAATGCGACTGAATCTAAAGGGCGTCCATCAAAATCATTAATTCAATCTTCTTTACGATTCTGTGCACCTGGTAATGAAGTATGCGCTGATTGTGGTCGACCTGGTTAGTCATAAATTTTGTTAAGTTGATAATTTATTCACTACAGTATTCATGTTTTCTTCAATATCTTCGTAAATAGTTTATTTCTTACCTGGTAGGATGTGTGTTTTTCCTCTCGCTCTAAATGTAAAATGTTGCCTCAAAGTCAGTCTGTATCAACGCCGAAACTAGTGATTGCATGTGAATCAATTGAGTTCATTGATAGCTTCATTTTTGTTGGAAGTCTCACCAGCCCTTGTGGGTTGTTGTTTGAGGATCATGACAAAATCATTCCTCCTCCTATGTCGTTAATCAATGATTGAAATTCTTAAGAGTATAGGGATACAGTTGTTTTTACTTAAATCAATGTATCCCTATTTTCTGATTATTCAGTTCGTGCAATTTTTTGGTTATAAAACATTAGATAAGTCCGTCGAAATAGTCTTAGAAACTGCAGAATTCATCTGATTTATACTTCGTGTGTAGAATTTCCTGATGAAGTTTTCGAAATTTGATCAACTTATTCCATTATTTCAATCTTATACACTTTTTAAAACTATTTTAAAAATCGTGATCAGTTATATTCTTCTGTTGTTCTTACCTTTCCCATCCTGTTTGTTGATTTTCAAGATCCCGAATGGGTTAGTGTAAATCTAGGTATATTAATTTGTTTGGAATGTTGTGGTGCACATCGAGAATTAGGTGTACATCATTCACGTACTCAATCATTATTGATGGATGAATTATCGACTAATCAACTATTGGTAAGTTATATCACAATCGTTTTTGTTTAATCTATCTAAATGTTCTTTATTTATTTTTCATTTAAACACAAACATTTGTACAAGGAGGCACCAAATAGATACATGTCACACTTCGCAATTGTATTTGTTTGAGGGCAGTGATGCTGCTCGATTGCCAGAACCGAAGTAGGAGGTTTTCTCAAGGTGCTACACACCGAACCTTCGACCTAGAGGTCCAGTCCACAAGGCAGTGGGGCAACCTTAGATGTTATTTCATGGTAACCAGTGATCAACACTAGGTTCATACGCCATTTTTGGTCCCAATATTCTGGAGCCTATGGGCTCCATTGGTTTGAAATCAGAGTTTTCAAACTCCCCCAAGTAAATTCTCCATTTCTACTAACCCGTGTAAAGCGCTTTACATCCGCTTTTCGTGCTCTCAACTTCGTGAACAATACCCCTGCCACCAGAAGGCACTGTATAGGACTTCCATGATAGTTGCTGTATACGCGTGGCCATGTGAAAACTCTTTGAGAGAGAGAGAGCGAACTGTCTTCACCTTGGGCCGTACCAGGGGGGCAATGTTCCTTAACTTCTTACCTATTCTGTTAGGTCGTTTTCAAAAAAAAGAATATTTCATCTAGTTGACAACGGTAAAATGCTAGTAAGAACTATTATTTATGTAATTCACATAAAATGTAGGACAGTTTGGCTTTAAATATAGTATGCGCATGTAGAATTAGTTTGTGTGTACAAACTGGAATACTGTTCGAGTAACCAAAGCAAAATAATTGACGTTTTCCCAAGAGGCCACTCTCCATACCTTTCACTCAGATAAGTCTAATCAACAAGGTAGTAAAGTAATGTCACGAGATACCGTCCCATTGTAACTAATGACCTGAAATTACTCCATACTCTATTTGTTCTCTCAAGATCTTGGATACAATGTACACTATTGGTTTTCTAATTTCCCTCTCTAGATGTGAACCAGCTATATCCATCACCCCAGTGTAAACGCCTAATGTTCAGTTTCTCCTCTCTTAACTTTGTAAATAACACTCCCACTGCATGGAGGCATTGAGCAAGACTATAGATACATAGCTGTGTATAAGAGAATTTCGTGAGGGAGAACGAACTCACTCTATTATTAAATGTAAATGTGTTGAATTAATAACCGGCTCTAATCTAGATAAGAAAAAACTCGAGGCGTACTCTCACAATAAATTGTTGCATGGTGTTTTTTTAAAGTTACATATTTAAATCAGTAAATTTCTAGCTAATAGTAGCAGTACGCAACTGTCAATTAGTCTCAACGTTGTACTCACTTTTCGCACCGTGACAGGCCTTCCTGATATTGTTTCAATTCTTTTCTACAGTTTAATTAAAATTTTTCTTCCAAAAACTATTTAGAATATACTGGTATGTTATCACTTTATTCTCTATCTCCTAATAGATTTCTTGTCTACCAGTCTACTGGTAGTTTTGACTTATGTAATTATTTCTTCTCTATACATCTATACATGAGTCTACTTACAATTTTTTATTTGAAAGGTTTCATTGATCATATCCCATATCTAGGGGAAACAAATCATTCTGTTAGTGAAAAAAACTGGTGCACTGAATGAATCTTGGTTAATAAACAATCCTAATTAAATTCTGTTCTAGTTCATACGTTTACTTCATATTGTATACTGGTTCCGTAAAATAAATGTGGCGTTTTAAAGATGTGTGCTTATAGATGTCATAAAATAACTATACGGTTAAACCGTATAGACACTGAAATCCTGAACCGTTCTAAATTAGACCATCGTTAAGAACCTAGAAGAACTAGACAGCCGTTTCGTTCTAGCATTGGACTTATCAGCGGTAGTGCACATTCACAAACCTGCATTTAATCAGTGCACTGATTTCGATCGAGTACTTTTTGATCAAGTAGAGGAATCAATTTGTATAAGGTCATTAGTGGAGATAATGAATTTTGTTGTGATTACAGTACATAACTATAGATAACAATGGAGCGTTAGTCGTTAGAGTACCCATAAAAGATTACCAGTAAGTGAGTCACTTAAGAGTGAGCAATAAATTTTTGACTAGTTTTTAGCTAACCAGAAAGCAGTTTTTGTCGATCCATAGTTTCTAGAAAAAAATCAATAATATTGCAGAGCGTAAAAAGATTTCACATAATTAATGAACTTATTAAATTCTTCTACAGGTTCCTCGATCTGTAATTAAAGCAACAACAAATAATTATGAATCTATTCACATGGGTATAGATCTTCATACCCTCAAACCATTAAAAGGACCTAAATAAATTTTTAGGACTTCTTGAATCGTTTTTAGTAAGGGTTAGTGATTTCGGGTAACAGTTTTCATCAGGATTTTGCCAAAATGCTTTATAGCCGTATGAATTGATAAATTCTGCGTAATTAATCAAGAATCACTGTGTAATTAGTTCGTTCATAAAATATAAGATTGCTGGATTATGTTTTGTTTTCGGATTAATGGTTTAGGGTTAGGATTTAGGGACAGTATTGATTCACACATTCCAATGTATCCCAACCTTTACTTCAAAGGAGATAGAAATGAAGAAAAAGATGTTTACAATCATAGTGTTGCCATTAAAAACTTTCTGGTACCTACCATTGTCGTAATTTGCTTTAGAGAAAAAAACGTATCTCATGATTACTTACCCAGTTAACATTCATTTTTATTTCTTTAAATTTAATAAGTTTCAATTTGGAAGGTTTTCTGTAATATCTGCACAGTTAGATTATAGGTAGTTGGTCCAAATTAATTTTTGTCCAAACTACGATTCAATTTAATAATACCCCACAGTTTTACTGTCTGTACCAAAACTTTTGCAATTATTAAATATCCTTTATAAATCCGCCTAATTTTTGAAACAATCCAATTTAAATTCACTTGAAGTTGTTTACTTGTATTTTCCGATTGTTATTTAGGACTGCAGTTGATCAGTCTCTTATTGGTTTATGTGCATCCTGTGAGGACTGCCTAGATATTGCCTTAGTTCACAAGCTTTATAAGCAAAGATGGATAGTGGCTAACAGTGAATCCAGTTTGACGCACGTTTCGTCTTATTTCGAACCAGTCAGTTGGATGTACCTGCATCTCGGAGTTGAGGTTCACTCTGATATTCAAACCCAGTACCGTTCGCTTCAAACGCCATCGCGTTATCCATTAACCTACTGAGTCCTGATGGCTACCTGATTGTTATTTAGGACCTAAATAACAGTGGGAAGATACAAGTAAAGAACATCAAGTGAATTTAAAACTTCACTACATTGCACAATCAGATGGTTGTCAGGACTCAGTAGCTAAGTGGATAACGCGATGGCGTTTGAAGCGAATTGTGCTAGGTTCAAGTCCCAGAGTGGCAATCGACTTGGAGATGCAGGAACATCCAGCTGACGAGTCCCAAATGGGACGAAATGCGCGTCCTGAATTCCAATCCAGTTTAAAAATTCTACTAACAATTAGTTCATAATTATAATTTTACTTGTTTCAAATGCTGTCACTTTTTTTCTCCCGATTATTTCAGTTACCTCGATTCATCGGGAATCAACTGTTTAATAGTGTATATGAGTCTAGTTTGCCTGCAGAAAGTAAACCGAACGCTTTAGATTCTGTTACGTAAGTAGAATTTGAAATATGAATGTTTTGTTATATACTTAAGCATATCTTCATTATTTCTTCTATGAAAATAAATTTATTAGTTCTCATTCTCTTGGATCTGTCCATAAAATCTTTTAAATGAAAGACAAATAGGGAGAGATAAAGTAATTTTCATATTATTCATTGTAACTGTATTCCCGGATAGGACAGTAAACTCTACCTGTCAAAACGCTCTTATGCGGTTACGCGCTTTTATATCCTTGTCGTGAAAGTCTTACTTCTTGCATTCATGCGCTGTCAGTTGTTGCCTATAAAACTAAATGGACGAGAAATGAAATTCCATCGCTTAGACTTGGTTGATGGGTTCGAAGAGTCCCTCTAGGAGGGAAAGTTGGAAAATCAAAACTCCATATCAATATTATACATAAATAGGGTCCAAGATCTTGAGGTTATGAATAAGGGATAAAGCTATTTTGATTATTCACTTTCGTTATGAAGCACTAACTTCAACTTGCCAGGTGCTGAGCTGAAAGAAGCGCCATCATAAAGAATGCATCTGTATCGAAATCTCAGGCAGGATTTAAGAAATGAAGAACAAGAAGACATCAATTAACAGCAGTTGAACAAGAGTAGAGAAAGCCAAGTCATAGACCGAATACACAGAAGCAAACATGCAAGTGAAGAGGCACATTAGAGCCGACATGCGAAAGTACGTGAAAGACTTGGCAACGACAGAGGAAAAAGCTGCTAGAGACTGTTACATAATACAACGAAGAAATTAGCAAAGAAGTATTGTAAAACAGAGTGACCAGTCAAAAACAAAGAAGGAAAGCCAGTCACTGAGATTCAAGAACAGCGCAACAGATGGGCAGGACACTTTGATGAACTCGTGAATACACTAACTCAACTGAACCCACCAGACTTCCCCTACATACGAACAAATTTGTGTGAAAACAACCAGTGTAGCAGCAGCTTCTGCATTAGTAGGCTTCAACAGTCACAGGGGAAAAACCAAGATTCTTAAATACAACACGGAATACATCAACCCAATCATAGTTCATGGAAAAATTATGGAACAGGTGGAAACTTTGACGTAACTGGTCAGCATCATCGACAAACGTGGTGGATCTGATGCAAACGTCAAGGCAAGCATCGCAAAGCAAGAACATCATCCCAACAGTTTATGTTTATAAGCGACTAGAAACAACTGTCCATCAACCAACATCAAATTCAGAATCTTCAATACGAACGTCAAGACAGTTCTACTGTACGGAGTTGAAACTTGGAGAACTACTACAACCACCATCAAAAGAGTGCACGCATCTATAAACAATTGTCTACGTAAAATATTCCAGATCCATAGGCCAGACACAATCAACAACATCCTGCTGCGACAGAACAAATCAACATGCATGTCAACAGGAAAATAAGAAAAGACACTGTTGGTGGATAGGACATACATTACGGGGCAAGCACTACTGATATCATTAATACAAATTAAGAAAAAGAATCAAATTAACTTCAGCTTCTAATTCCTCACACTACTTTATAACCCTCATCTAGCCCTAGTAAGTAGGTGGATATTCTCAAGGTCCCTAAGACACCACTCAAAGGTTGTATATATATTTTAGTCTCACTGTATTATTTAGTTTATACTCTGGTTCTCTCTTCTGGATCTGATATAACGTAACTACTCTTATTGTCGTATTAACGTAATATCGTAGTATACTAGAGAGAGAGAGAGCGAAATATTTCAAACCATCTGTTATATCAATCTTCAATTTGAATAATTTTATTACTTTTTTTAATTTTTAGTGATCCAACTGATGGAATGACACAAAGACGTAATTTTATTAAATCAAAATATGTTGATCGACGTTTTATCACGAAAACAACATCGGATTCACTAGATTATATTACGAACAATAATAAATCTTTCTCAGATGATATTTCAACTACTCGTGATCCTATTGCAGAACGATTTTTAAGACGTGATCTGTTAAGAGCAGTAAAAACCGGTAATTTATCATTACTTATTCAGGTAAGATGATGACTAGTATTAATGATAACTGATCGATAATTATTGTAATTCATTGTGTCAATAAATAAATAAAAATCAGGGAGAAATTAGCGAAGAAAGAACTTTCAGTCATTGTTATCATGAACCGATTTAAGTTAGACTACCATTGAGAAACTGGAAGCACCAGATGGCTGTTTCGTCCCAGTAAGGGACTCCACGGCTACGGTATCGCATGCGGGACTCGAATCCAATGCTTTAAGTCTCGCGCAAGGACGCTTCACCGCGGAATCAATATGCAACATTGTAAAAGTCCAACTTCAACCAATGCTTTCTATAAAATCATTTACTTAAGCTTCATTTTCTTATGTTTAATTGTTTGATAAATATATGAATCTGTAGAAGAATAAAAAAGAGTTCACATCATATAGTGATTTATGATTTCAAATATCAAAAGAAAAATCTCCATGCTGATTGTGGTCGGTTAGACTATAGGAGGGAGTGAAAATATTTTACAAGTCACAAATATGCACGGTAATTGTCCGCCTAGCAATTAAACAACAGTCACGGGAATTTGTTAGAGGATAAATCATAACTGATCACAGTTCTAAACAACAATCGGGAGATTCAAACAAGCGTTTTAGCGTTCTTTTAGCGAGTTAGTTTTCTACGGGATGGGGACGCTAACCCCATGCCCAACCCTCCTCCTTTATCCGGGCTTGAGACCGGCAGTAGCCCCCGGAGGGACTCCAGGCGGAGTTAGATTCAAACAAATGTAATGAAAATTCATTCCATTGAACAAGGCAGTGGCTATCTGAACTTAGTAGCTAAATGGATATGAACCTCAACTCGGATGTGGTAGGTACATCAAGCTGACGAAATAGAAATGGAACGAAACGGCGCGTTGTGAATTACATTCCTATTCACTATCCATCTCTGCTTAAAATAACAGCTTTAAAGAAGTACAGAGTATTTATAGAAGCAAAATTAAGACCAAATTGTTCTGCAGACGAGAATCAAGCTCATGGAAGAATGAAAGGTTGCTTCGGCATACAAATTTAAGGTTTGAATTGGTGAATTTACAATACCGCACCAGTACAGTGCATAAGTTTTCGAGTCAAACTCCTCTCTTTGCTTCCATATATTTTACCGTGTAGATTATTTTTGTAGAGTAATTCTTTCGGGGCAATCTGCCCACATTTGATGAAGTGCTCCTGTAACGTGAACTACTATTTGAAAGATATTTAGAGACAACCAAACTAAAACGTGACATCATTCGTCGTGTCTTAATATTCCTCCATACATTCTTTTTTCCTGTCTTCGCGAACCATATTCTCACTGTTCAATACTACTACCACTACTACGTAATTTCAACTATTTAATTTTGGTCAAGCACATATTTACCGGGTTCTAAGTTGATAATAACTAAATAGCTCAATTATGCTTACTGATTATTGGATTAATCAAGTCATTTTAATTCATCACTTCATTATTTTTTTCGTTCTGTTCATAGGTATTTGCTGAACGACTAGATCTTATGACACCATTTCAACCAGAAGATAATGATGATGATTCTTATTCACTTTTGCCTGGAACAACTGCATTACATATAGCTGTTGAGAAAACTAGTAAATTTTTAATAAAACCCAGATTAAATTATTCTGATGAAAACAAAGTTAATGTATCCGATTTAAGTGAACAACAACAACAACAACAAATAACTGAATCATTTTTTAATTTTGATAATAGTAGTAATCGTGAAGCAACAACATGGAATGTAATTGATAATCATGAATTTGATAAATCACCACATAATAATTTACCATTAGTGGAATTCATCTTACAAAATTCTTCATCGTGAGTTTATCCCGTTTCTTTTGTTTTTCTATTTGTATTATTCCTTTGTTGTATATGTAATGTCAAAAATTGTAGATGTACTTAAATGGTATTGAGTCTTGTGTGATCAGGTCATTATTATTTGAGTAGAGTTTTATATAGTCCGATTATTGATTAATTCTTGTAGATTATCTGTATAGGACCAATCATTTTCTTTTGTTCAATAACCCTATGATAATGAGATGACAATTGAGATCAATACTTAATGCTTTTCAGTTCAGGATACAGTTTCTTTCATACTTGCTTACTCAATATTCATGACAGAACAAGATAACAACAAGTAGATAAACTGCTACTGTACAGTTCAATTCATAATTCTATACTGGTGTGATAGTACTTACGCATGTTACCTTTCGTAGAGATCAGAAGCCGCCAACGATGATTCTCCAAGCAACTCTGTCCTGAGCTCCACTTCCTAGTTGTTTGCAGTCACTATTCATTCGTTGATGTCTGCCTCCAATTCTCGACTCAATGTGTTCCTTAGTCTTCCTCTTTGACTTTCACATTTAGGATTCCGAGTTAGCACTTGCCTTGTGATTCCGTCTGATGATTTCCGAAATGTATGTCCTATCCACCTACAGCGTCTTTTCTTACTTTCCTGTTGACCTGGAAGTAGGTTGTTGTTGATGGTGTCTGACCTATGAATTCGGAATATTTTACGTAGACAATCGTTTATAATTTTGTGCAGTCTTTTGATGATGGTTGAAGTAGTTCTCCATGTTTCAATTCCGTAAAGTAGAACTGTCTTGATGTTCGTATTGAAGATTCCGAATTTTTTATTAGTTGACAGACAGTTAACCAGCACGAGCAGCCATACGTCAACTCAGAATCCTAATTGGTCTCTCTCACTTAGCCCTGCCTGTTTGAGTGTAAAGCGAAATCCCAGTCTCCACTGTATGAATCGCATATATTTCAGACATACGTAGTTTATATACAAGCAGACCATACCGCATCATGCCATGAAACAGAATATAATAATTATACAAGATCAAGCTGAAAGTGGATGTGAGTACAGAAGACTGTAACTAAATGATTTGGAATTACTCAAGAATTGTAATTCGTATAACAGTAGCAAATAGGTCAAATGAAAGCTTATAATAAAAGGAATATTTATGTACATATAATACAGTTACTTAATAGTTATACAATAGTTACCATTCACTTTTTCGTCGTTCAGATGTAACACTTATGAATGACCAGCGAAAATCATCCCCTACTTCATACTTTAGGATATTTTCATTCTTCCAATTAATACACATTCTCATTGTGCATTTTTTCCCTTAAGCGAAACGTTTGATTAATGGTAATGAATCATCGCCTCGATTTCGTAAATGTAAAACAAAGGCTTTAGATACACAGAGACTATTTACCAATTCACTTACCAAGTTTATTATGTGTGCATATGTGCGCATTTATACATTTCGATATGTTTTTGTTTATTTATAGACAACTTGTTTATTTTTTGAAAAAAATTTCCTGTCTATATATTACTGTTTTATAAATTGACCCGATGTTGTTTTCTTTTTGAAGAGAGCGGTTGTTGATCCTTCCTTTTTTCTCATTTTACAAAATCAGGCCGGTTTTCGACCTGGACGTGGTTGTATAGACCAAATATTCACACTACGTCAGGTTCTAGAACACAGACACGTTTAGACGCCCCACAATGGTAGTATTTCTTGACCTTAAGGCGGCATTCGACTCTGTTGATCGTGAGGTTCTATGGCAGCGTTTGTCACTGAAAGGAGTACCAAAGAAGTACATTAACCTTGTAAAGGCTCTCTACTCGAACACAACTGGTAGAGTGAGAGCTTATGGCGAACTGTCATCAGAATTGATTACCTCAAGTGGTGTTCGTCAGGGCTGTCCACTCTCTCCATTCTTGTTCAACTTTGTCATTGACGTACTTTTAGAGATGACACTCTCCTCATCTAAATTTCCAGGGGTTGAACTTCTACCGGGAGGTTCACTTGTTGACTTAGAATATGCTGATGACTTAGTTTTATTTGGTGAAGACGCTGACAAAATGCAGAGTCTTCTGGCCACTCTAAGCAACAATGCAAGCATGTTCGGGATGCGATTCTCTCCCTCGAAATGCAAAATGTTGCTTCAGGATTGGGTTACATCGACACCCGAACTAGTGATAGGGAGTGAAGTAGTTGAGCGTGTCGACCGCTTCACTTATCTTGGAAGTCTCATCAGCCCTTGTGGTCTGGTGTGTGACGAAATCTCAGCACGGATAAAGAAGGCTCGACTAGCTTTTGCCAACTTGCGTCATTTATGGCGTAGGCGAGATATCCGTCTATCAACCAAAGGACGGGTTTACTGTGCAGCAGTTCGTCCCCGTCCTACTTTATGGCAGTGAAACATGGCCGGTAAGAGTAGAAGATATTCGTAGGTTACTAGTATTCGATCATAGGTGTCTTCGAAACATTGCTCGTATTTGCTGGGACCATCGAGTAAGTAACACAGTTGTTAGGAAACGGGTACTAGGTAAGGATGGCAAATCAATTGATGAAGTGGTGAAACTTCATCAGTTGAGATGGCTGGGACACGTGTTACATATGCCCAACGACCGACTGCCTCGACGTGCGATGTTCAGTGGTATAGGAGTAGGTTGGAAGAAAGCTAGGGGCGGCCAGACCAAAACATGGCACAAATCCATGAAGTCACTGACAAGTGGTCTGAGTCATGTTGGTAGGTGTAGACTACCTGGTTGTGGACCGCGAGATGATAGCGACCGATGGTTAGAGACCTTGATTGACATGGCTCAAAATCGTTTGCAATGGCGCAGGTGCATCCACTCTTTGTGTTCTCCCAAATTTTGATCTCCTGATTCCCCCTTGTCTCTTTTTTTCTCTCTTCCCAAGTTTATTTCACTGTATTATACTCTTTAAGTAACATCTCCATACACTAATCTTTCCGATTACTGCTTATACTCTTATTACCTCTACCACTACGGGATTTGAATCGACCACGGCATCTCTGTGCTAATGTGGTGTGGCAACTCGAACTGATGTACGTACGTACGAAGTTCTACGTTGTTACTGACTGACTGACTGACTCATTTTACAACTGACTTTTTCCTCCACTTTAAGTGGATGAATAGTGATGTCGTGTGTATGTGTGTGTATATTGCATGTTGTATGAGTAAGCTATTGTAAATTGTGAATTCTATTTAAATTGTATCATAATTTCCTACGGTTTTATATTAAGGAATGGAATTGATCAGTTTTTTATATTGGTGTTTGTGTAACCTTGATATTACTACCAAGTTACTAAATTTTAAAAAAAAAAATTAAAGGTGGATTGTGGCCTGTAGTGGAATCCAGGACTCAAGTTTCATCCTGCATCGTTTTTTAAAGCTGGATATATTTTCTATATCCCAGTGTTGATGTTCACATCAAGACTTGGACTTCACTTTAAACAACTATTGTGGTATCTATTTAGCCTATTGAGGCTAGATAGCCACTAATCTACTCAGTGGTTGTCGGTTAATGTGTAAGAACTTAAATTAATCCATTCAGTTAATAACTATCTTAACTCATTAACTTAACGGATACTTGAAACAATGAGTGGCTTACTAATGATATATGCAGCACATAGGAATTCAGTTTGGAAACTTTCGTATTTTTTCTCGTAAATATCAACACTAAGACACAGGTGCATCCGGTTTACGGGCCCCAGATAGGATGAAACTCACGTCATTGATTCCACTCCTAGTCGCTACCCCTTTTAATAAATGCCTGTGAATTAGTTGACCTCTAACTTTGTTCACAGATTAAGGTTGTAACTTGCTGAAATTGATCCGTACAATCCTATATGTCTTTCTGCATTTCTTAAGTGCGGTTTCAATTTTTTTAAACTCAATATTTTTTCTATAGGGTTTACGTTGAACTAAAACATGTAATGAAAGTGCAACATACGGATAAACCAGTCAAAACCAAGAAAAGGATTGCTTTAACACGATATTTAGGAGTGAACGACTTTTATATCATATCACCCATAAGCAGAAATTCTGGTAACGTTTCGTTCTGTGATCTTAGAGTGGTTTAATCATCGGGTCCATTTTTTTGCCACATCATTGGCACTAATTTCAGTAGAGTGAGCTTTTGGCATATTTCAACTACCTACAAACTGTATTCAAAAGAGAGAAGATACAATTTATCAACCTGTTTTTGTGATAAAAGGAATATGGATATACATATAATCTAGTTACTTAACAGTCATCCAATAAGAATATATGTAATAATAGCCCATAAACAGTTCCTAGATGTTACCATTCATTTATTCTTCGTTTGGATTTAACACAGCCGATCCCAAAAAATTCACCGACAACTAACATTTCGAGAATCAAGTCAAAAGGGGTGGCAATTAAAACAGATACGTAAACAATGATAGGGCACAAGTATCAATAATAACCGATCAAGATCAAAGTCTATGTATATTCATGTGATTAGTGATTGGATACTTCCAGCGTTGAGTTGATCTGTTTCATTTTCATATATTTTATTTTGCTTTTTAATCTACTTCACTATTTTAAGGGAAATCTCAAATAATGTTTTGTTTGCTCAAATTACAATTATCAATGTTCTTTTAACTTTTTATCTGATATTTGTGTTGTATATTTACATTTGTAGAAGTAGTTTAAAACGTGCCAATAAATTGGGTGATACAGCACTACATCATGCCGCTCGTTATGGATGTTTGGATGCATTAAAATTAATTGTTCAAGCTGGCGGGATTCCAACACCAGTAAGTACCTATTTTTTCTGTTATGTTCTAGCTTCATGATATTTAAACAACTCGACAAGCCTGTTACCTCATATTGTTGTTACATTACTGTCAGCACGGTCGGGTTACTAATTACAGACTACAATATGTCAACGGCTGTGAATTCCTTATCCCTAACGGTTCAACACATACCTACTTTAATAATCATTCAGAACACGAATACGACGGCCAGATCTATCTTATATTAACAATCTACCTTCTCTATTCTTTATAGCTAAATATAAATTCGATAATATACATTAAATACCTGACTGCACAACAATACATATCAGATATTACAATGTGTATCTGATTAAGTCATAAGTAAAACAAAACTGAGTAATTGGTCTATAATTAATTACCGCAGTGAAAATTAGAAAATATGATTATCAAATCTGTTACGAAAAATTAGAATTAGAGATCAAAGTCTCACAATCAACACAAAAAAAACACTTACATTTACGTCCTATTTCAATTTCGATTCCTACACTTATGTAACTACCCGTAATAATTAACTGATTACGAAAATGTACCTTAGTTTCAATTTTAATTTTAAATTGTGTAACTAACTAATGATTACATTGTTGAAGTGACTTAAAAGCAAAATTTAACTCAGTAAAGCTAGAGGTTCTGTGGAATTGTCTATAATTGAAAGGTGTACCTCAGAAATACATAAATCTTGTAAAGGCATGTTACACGAACACTACTACGGCGAACTGTCATCTGATTTTGTAACCTCAAGTGATGTCCCACAGGGCTGTCTATCTCTATTTTTGTTTAATTTCATCATAGACCTACTGCTGGAAATAACGCTTTCGTGGTCTGAATTTTCGGGAATTGATCCCCTATCACGAGGACTACTCACTGACTTAGAATACGCAGATGACATAGTCCTGTTTGGTGTAGACGCTGATGAAATGCAAAGTCTTTTGGTAGCACTGAGCAACAATGCCAGGATGTTTGGAATACGTTTCTACCCCTGTAAATGAAAATTTTGTTTCAGGACCGGCTTATGTCAACACCTGAATTAGGGATAGAGGGTGTAGTAATCTAACGCATCGATAACTTCACTTATCTCAGAAATCTGATCAGCCCTAATGGGTTGGTGTCTGGCGAAATCTCAACACGGATTCAAAAAGGTCGTTCGGTTTTTGCCAACTTACGTCACGTATGACGAAGGTGAGATTATCCGTTTATCAGTTAAGGGATGAGTATATTGTACAGTAGTTGGTGAAAGTGGCCATTATAGTAGCACAGAGCCCTGATAAAGAATTAATTGAAAGGAATTATTTCTTTGTTCAACTTGTCTTTTCTTTCAAAAATTTCATTTCATCGTCTCAATGTGACATGGTAGTAAATATTTGTTCCGAACTCTACTTTCATCAGACTACTTGGTTGGGGTCCACGTGACTATCGTAACCAATGGTTGGAGACTCTGGGTGATATGACTCAGAATCGATCACAATGACGTCGATGTATACACTCTCTGTCTTCCCTTAAACCGTGAGATTAAAATTGCTTCATATCTTTCTTTCTATGAACTAATTCTTTCTTCCTGTATTATATCCTTATACACAATATTTCTTTTATACATTACTACCATTGTAGTGATTACCTCTATGAATTTGTTGTTGATCTTGTTGTGCTACTGAGGTATGTCAACTTGAACTGATGCATATATATGCCTGGTCCTATCTTGTAGCTGAATGACTGACTTCATCATAAATAACTCGTACTGAATCGATTTACATTTTAAATGAAAGTACCTGTTTACAGTCAGTTATTATTATTTTTTTATATATGTGTTTTATACTTCTTTTTCTCTAACCCCCCCGTCTCTCTCTCTCTCTCTTCTACAGATACTCCAATTAACTAATCATAATGGTCAAACAGCATTAGATATTGTAGAAAATGCAATAATACAATACAAATTAAATAATACTAACACTACTACTACTACTACTACTACTAGTAGTAGTAATAACAATCATATATTGTTATTAGATGCTTATAAAAATTGTCAACATATTCTTAAATTATCTAATTTCATTGCATCTAATATTTCATGTAAAAATAATTGTTTAATTACTGATTCTATTAGTTCATTATTTTCTAATACAAATGGATCTATTGATAAATTAACAAATTATCGTAATAATTTAATAGAATTATTAAATCAATTAAATTCAATTAATTGGTATCCATTAAATATTTCATCTATAATAACAACATCATCATCATCAGTAACAACATTATTGACAACATCAACAATTCAATTAATAAATAATGAAAAAAATCATTATTTATATAAAGATAATATTGATAAAAAGATAATAACACTGACTACAAATACATTGGTTACAACTAGTTCACCAAATATTACAAATGTATCTATTTCAAATAAATTAGAAACATCTTATAGTAATAATTATGAATTAGGAACATTTTCATTATCTCCTATAATGAAATGTGTTAATCAATTGGTGAGTAATTTATTATATTTAAACAAAGGTAGTTAGGATATTGTCCGGCAGCCTACATTGAGATAGGTAATTTTCTTAAGAAGTCCCTAACCAAACTTTTGATCTAGAGGTTTAATCCATGAATAAAACAGTGGAACAATGTTAGGAGACTTGATTCTATGGTGGTCGATAACCAACACTAAGTTCATACGCTATTTGTTGTTTTAGGATCCTGAAAATTATGTGCACTATTAGCTTGGAATCAGGTTATTTTTTTAATCCTTTGAGTGGATGCTCCATACCCACCAACCTGGCTTAAGCCTCCTCCCGGACAGTCACTTTTTGTTCTATCAATTTGTAGACAACACCTCTGGCTCTAGAAAAGAATGGTTAGGACTTCCCTGGCAGATGTAAGTGGCCATATGAGAGCATTTCGATAGGGAGAGCGGAATCTCCCCACTTGGTGAGTAATATTTCATAAATGAGAGGACGAAAAGTTAATGTCTGACGCTTCAACGAAGTCGGTAGCTATAGAATATCCACCTAAGGGAGTTAGGAAATCCTGATCGCAAATCAATGCAACACATGAGCTCCATGATCTTAAGACAATAAATGGCATATGAATCTATTGCTGGTCACCGGCTACCATAAAATAGCATCTCCTCACGTTGCTCCACTGCTTTGTAGTTTAGATCTCTAGGTCAAAGGCTCGAGGAGTGGTCCCCTAAGAAAACCACCACCTGGGCAGTATCATAGCTCATACACAAACCAAGTGACTTGTATGGTGCGTATGTTTTCGGTACCTCTTTCTACCAATATTTATATGTTCAAATAAATAAAGACGATTACAAGTTTACTCAAATTTTGTTAACAGTAGTAAAATCTTATTAGAAACGACAACCTTAATCCTAATAAATTATTACATTATGAATTTGTTACATTCTCTGAGCTGTATGGTTCAGTCGTAAAAATATTATTGTCTTCCCAGACAATATGATTATCACATAATTTTTTTTAAAAGCAAGCACAAATACACATTGAAAATCTTTGTAACTAAACTATTCAGATAGCTGGACATGAAATACTCATCCGGAGCTGTAAATCATTCTCCATCATCTCAAAACAATCTCATAATAAATGAACAAATTAACTGTACTACTTACAACTACTACTACTACTCTTTACCGTCTTTTTCGATTGTAAACGTTTTAAAAATTAACTGATTTTATGGTTTTAATTATCGTGAATTTATGAAATAGCTGACATTTATGTCATCGTCTTTTGCATAAACCAAACAAATCAGTAAATGTTCATAATACATTGACTAATAGGATTTGAGTTAGCCGATGTTCAGTAGTCTTGACATCTCCATACTGGCAATTATCATGTGCTTACTAGTGACTTGCTTTGAAGGGAAATTTTCAAAGCTCTAGTGAAAATTCGTGACCAGCTGATTTAAAATCATGTCAGATGTGACTAAGGCAAGGTACCCAATAAAGATAATGGAAAATGATTGTGCAGTATCATAAATTGATTGAAATTAAACTTGTACACGATTAGGTCCTGGGCTATTGCATGTAAAATCGAAGGCCCAGAGTTCGATCGTCAGTTGTGCAGTTGTGGATGTTCACAAAATAAATGCTCCGTTCTTTCAGGTTTTTAATAGTTATCTAATTTAAATTGGTTCGTGATGTTAATGCGATTCTTATTGTGTTTTTTTATGTGGCAAATCTTTTTGCTAACATCTACATCTACCTTCCTCTTCTTTTTTGTGTTGTGCATCCATTCTGGAATTGGAAAAAAAAATTAATTAATTACAACTGTAGATTTCTACTCGTAATCCATGTGAATCGTATACACCGAAACCAAATTCAACTGGGAAACAAATAACCTTTGATGAAAATATATGTACTACAGGTAACAATGTCACACCAACTTCATTAAATAAACCTACACGATGTAAGTGTTTTCCTTTCTACTCTGCTATACAAATTTACATAATATTTGCTCATATTTTACTCATTTTATTCACTAAGATACAAAAAACAAACATTTTTAACCACTGATCATGTTTAGTATGCCTATTCCACTCCAACCAGACAGTGTTTATATCTATCCATATGGCTCAGATCAACTATTAGGAATTTTCTTGAACTAACGTGATACAATCACGACGTCATAATCAGCATAAAAACTGATATAAATGTGTACACTTATTCAACATATCAAACCACATTAGCATGAATTAATGAAATTAATAGGATGAATAGCAAAGGATATTGGACTAATCTAGTAGCAGTGATAATGAGCAAGACTGAATATTGAGAACATGTTATCCAATGGTACATGTGAAGGAATACTGGAACTCAAGGTTCAGAGTGAGATGAATGTATATGTGCCATTGTGACCGATTCTGTGCTTTCACCCAACGTCCTCAACCTCTGTTCGTGGTTATCACGCATAACGCATTATCTGTTTACATTATAAGTAGTATATATTTTGATCATCACCGAGTTTGAAAACTTAATATTAGTTGAATTCTAATGCTTTCAGTTTGTTTGTAATAAGTCGGGCCAATCCGATCGAGTAGTGGGTGCTTTCTATCCGTCCATGTTTCGCTCAATTTTCCGAGGGATATATGTCTATATTTATGAGAGAAGTTGTATACATATTTTGATTCGAGTTTACCAGCAAAGCTTCTTGTTCATTATATATCTTCTCGTTCTAGTAACAGGTTAGGATCTCATACAGGAAGCATACATCCAAGTAACAGAATCAGACAACCATCCAACATAAAAGTTTGCATTAAATTTTAAGTTAATATCTCCTCTTCATTATCATGTAAACTTATTGACGTCAATACTATTATTATCATTTCATCTTCTTTATTGTCTAGCTTACAGTCAGTATTCACCTTCAATTCATTATGGTAGTGCACTGGCTACTTTACCACGTAAAAAAGGTCCTGCACCTCGTCCACCATCTGTAGATGATCAAATGAATGGTCGGAGTGGAATGCCAATTAACAGCACTGGTGTAAGCAATAAATAGTTTTCGTTTTTTTTCCGTTGTTGATAATTGATTACATGCTCAATGCTTCCAATTTCATTTTTGATAAGATTCATCATAAACGGGTGTAAATAACGCTTTGTTTGATGAATTCCCCTGATTGTTTTACATTAGGTTACCATGTTCATGAAAGAAATGGCATTTCAGGGTTTTGAATCTGAGGTGGGTTATATTATATGCTATATATATGTGTGTATATTCACTTCATTCAACGTGATAACTGTACACAAACACACTTGTTATCGGTTTCAAAATTTGAAACACTTGCAATTTTCACTTTCTATTTCATTTCTTGATCATATAAATATTCACTGTTGATACAATGCACTACTAAGTTTTTGATTTATTGCTCATCGTTTTACGGTCAATTCGAGTTATTGTTATTTTGTTGATATGTACATTAAATATTCATCGTATACTTTGTTTTTTATCATTTTCGTAGTGTTGGAGTACCTTCAATCGGTTGGATAATAGTCGCGCATCATGTTGTAAGTTGTGTTCATAGTATATATGTAACTAATAATACGTTTAAGATATTGCGCGTCCATCCTCCATTGTCTTCGGCGAGTAACTGCCTCACACTTGACACGTTTGAACTCCATTAATCATGGCTCAGTAATCTAGAGGTTAAGCGTTCGTGTACAAGACTGTAGGTCCTGGGTTCTAGTGTCGCGTTCACGATCGTGGATTTTCACCGCTGAGGAACCCCGTACTAAGACAAATCGGCCGTCCAGTACTTCCAGGTTTTCAGTGGTGGTCTAACATTGATCGGTCCATGATCTCATTTAAAACTCAACAATCTCTAAAACCCTGTACTGATAATAATATGTTTGTTTTATCAAGACATAATTCCATCTTGTACACCGCGGTTTGATTTTAGTTAGATAAATATCGAAAATTAGGAAAGCAACTGGATAATTCATTATATGTGAAAATTATATTTGAAATATTCTCAGCGATTGAAATATAACTAATTCCAACGTTTCGTCCAGCTAACTTGTCTGGACTTCTTCAGGGTAATAATCAAAATCAAAATTATCAAAGACATATATAGCTTTTAACAATCGGGATTATACTGTATTAAACCAATCATATTTGGATGTTGATTTTTTGTAAAATAGGATCAAATGAGTCAGTTAACTACAAATCATGTGAAGAGTTCAACTACATAGAAATAATTAACTGAGTAACAAATCGTATGTGTGTGAGTGTGCAGGTATGTATGTATGTAGTTGAACTCTTCACATGATTTGTAGTTAACTGACTCATTTGATCCTATTTTACAAAATATCAACATCCAAATATGATTGGTTTAATACAGTATAATCCCGATTGTTAAAAGCTATATATGTCTTTGATAATTTTGATTATTACCCTGAAGAAGTCCAGACAAGTTAGCTGGACGAAACGTTGGAATTAGTTATATTTCAATCGCTGAGAATATTTCAAATATAATTTTCACATATAATGACTTCTCTATACTCGGCGCTCAATTACTGTCAAATTATTCGTTCTAATCTTGACGAATATTCGTATAAACAACTGGATAATTGTTTCTTCTCTGTTGTGTATATTGAAGACAATGAAAGATGGTCGAGCAATATCATGGATTGATTGAAGTTAGACACCTAACTTCGTTGGATGCTGACTCAGTGGTGTAGAAGTTAAGCGTTTGCGAACGCTGTCGGAGGTCCTAAGTTCAATCCTCTGTGATGTGATGAATTTAACATAGATATCATTATCATTTCCTTCACTTTGGCTTTGACCAAAGTAGACACCAAAAACTGCATATAATTGATGAAATTAACAGGTTCTTTCAAGACCTGGTAGGTTTGTTTACTCTGTTAGACTTATTCTTAACTCCGAATCCCACTACAATACATGGGACTGTCTCTATTCTCTTTTCTTCCCTGACCGCTAACCAAGGTGAGAATTTGAAACTTGTATAAAAGCCTTCTCATATCATTCCTCAGGAAAATAGTAATTTTTTGTGATTCATGCTCTCTCTTCAATCAACTGAGAAACCTGAACGTGTTGACCCGATTTTTGGGCATGTTATTGAAACGTATTAATTTTTGTGCCTATTTCACAATAGTTTTCCAACAGCTTCTCTCGTCCATAATATTCTTAGTACTTTGCATCTCCCCTCCTTAACATTTTCTCTTTAGTGATTTGTTGTCGTCAGTGGTATGTTAGGATTGACTTTTCAATCTCTTTATTTTAGTTAATCTTTATTTTTCATTTAGTTCATTTACACACATAACCATTGGTACAAGGAGGTACAAAATACATATTCGCTACACTGCTTCATTTGATTTGTATGGGGGCTGGGATATCGCCCAGGTGCCCAAACTGAAGCAGATTATTTTCTTGAGGAGGCACTCCCCGAGCCTTTGACTTAGAGATCTAATCTACAAGGCAACATAGCAACTTTGGGAGATGCTATTTTATGGTAGCCAGTGACCAGCAATAGATTCATATGCAATTTATTGTCTTAGGATTATGGATCTCATGGGTCCCATTCGTTTGCAAACAGTATTTTCTAACTCTTATAGGCGGACCCTTCATGTCCACCGACCAGGTTAAAACACCGGACATTCGCTTTTCGTCCTCTTAATTTCGTAAGCAACAGTATTGTCGCGTGAAAGCAGTGAGTAGCACTTCCCCGACATTGGTTATATACGTATGGCTATGTGAGGGCATCTATATCATAATGTATTTTGCGATAACTTTTGTTAGAAAGTAACTAAAGTCATCTACAAACAACTTACGATCATTAATATACATATTTAATTATTTATTTATAATTCACAAATGATAATTTTCAATTGTTCACTGCACTATTTTGTGATCGGTTTCATAAAATCACCCATAATTTTAGACTCATCATGTCAATAATATATGCAAGTGTGTCTGTGTGTGTGTGTGTGTAACTGCACCATTATATAGAGACATGAACAAGGTGTTTTTATTTTATAAACACATAAATTCGTCATTCGTTTTATTCGGTGTTACTGACAGTTTATGGGCTGGTAGGTGGGAGATTTGAATAATATTTTCTTATAATATTACCATGTTAATGTTAATAAAATTCTTCATCTCTTATCGATTAGCTTCATCACCAAGCTACTGTTGTAGATGAAATCGATGACAGGATGTTTCAATCAATAATACATATTTTTTTTACTCATTTCATTAATAAATTTGAACGTTATCCCAAGTATTTTATATATTCAAGGATAGAACACTCATTCCTCTTTTTACATTGTTCAATAAAAGTGAAATATCTGGTACTTTCGAACATTTTTCTCGTCCATTTTAATAGTTGAGATCATGAAGCTATACCACCATGGAAAATCTGGAGTCACTGGACAACCGTTTCGTCCTATTGTGTGGGACTCCTTAGCAGTGCGCATCCATGATTCCGCCTCGCGAGATCCGAATCCATTTTAATCATTTAAAGCTATATATATATAAACAAAGATAGGTGATTTCTAGAAGTTGAATACAGGATGCTCGTTGTTTCGTCCTATTTAGGACTGTAGCTATTAAATTGGGAATAACTCAGGGATAGTAAATCGTATACTGGTAGTGAATAGGTCAAACGGAAGCTTATAATTAAAGGAATATGAATATATATATATAACATATTTACTTAATGTTTATACAATAAGAATGTATATAATAAGAATCCTAACAGTAACCACTCATTATTCTTCCGTATAAAACAAGAAAGACTGATCAATTATAGTATTAAACATGACATGAGAAGATTCAAACAACCAATATAAAATGAATTATCTAAATATTTTCTCTACAAACATGACTTATCGAATAAGTATAAAATAAATAACAGAAATTTTACAGCTTAAAATGAAATCCTCAACGCAATATTCACTCAACAAATGAACAGTCAGTCATCTAAAACGTAGGACCAGGCACATATATGCATCGATCCAAGTTGACATACCTCAGTAGCACAACAAGATCAACCCTAAATTCATAGAGGTAGTCACTTCAATGGTAGTAATGTATGAAAGAAAGATTATGTATAAGAATATAGTACCGGAAGAAAGAATTAGTTCATAGAAAGAAAGATATGAAGCAATTTTAATCTCACGGTTTAAGGGAAGACAGAGAGTGTATACACCTACGTCATTGTGATCGATTATGAGCCATGTCACCAAGAGTCTCCAACCATTAGTTACGATAGTCACGTGAACCCCAACCAAGTAGCGTGCATCTACCAACATGGCTCAGACTAGGAGTTAGTGACTTCAATGATTGATGCCACATTTTAGTTTGGCCACCCTTAACTTTCTTCTAATAAACAGATAAATCCTAGATATTGCACCTGAATTTAACATTAAGCGATTGATACGCTACAATTTTTCACTGAATAATCACCTTTTTTTCATGATTACTTAATGCAAATAATGAACACTTTTTTCACCATAGAAAATTGATATTTCCGTTCGATTTGAAAAGTGCATGTTGGTAAGTAGGTGGTCTCCACACACTTTTAAATCGTTTTAAGGAAATAAATCACTAAAACTCATTATTGTCAGAATTTATCGTCTAAATTAGAACACAATTTTATTGAATATTCAAAAGTACATGTCAATTTTTGGTTGTTTTAATTCTGTCTACCAAATAGTTAATCATCAAACCATCTTATTTAATATTCAACCTTTTGAGGGTATTTTGAAAAAGAAAAACTAGTTAGTTTCCATCATACAATCCTCTCTCTCAAAAAAGATTTCATTAACTGTTTTAACACATTGCGAAAGTGGTGTACACGGAAAGCAAATGTCCTATGGTTAAACATAGTTAGTGAATACGGTGAGTTCACCTATTGGGGAATAAGGCAAAAGAAAATGTTGGGAAACTCTAATTTCAAACTAATAGTGTACAAGAGATTCTAGATCTTATGGGAAAAGAAAGGCATATGGACTTATTCTCGTTTTGTCATCGGCATCTCATGATGTTGCTCTGTTGGATTAAATCATCATGTCAAATAATTAAGGAGTGTGACTTCTTAAGAAAAATTATCATCTACCCAAAGTCGTGTAACTCTAAAAGTACCCTCGTTTTCCTATACATAAACTAACCTTGGAGTAAAGATTTTACTCTCTATTCAGCCCTTCTCTCTAGTGTTGCAGTTGTAGTGTAGTCATTTGGGGTTATCGGAATCAGCTAGAAAGAAAGTTTGGGCGTATGTACCGGCAGCATGACATGTCACCTTGAGAATCTATGTATTGACTGTTTCAATTCACAAATGGCTTCCTGGGAGAACACTATGTATTTCTCTTATGTAAAACACCAAACTGCACATTTCAGATGAATTCTCCTGTATTGGTCTTTTGAACGTTTTTCTTTCTCTTTATTAAAATCTTTGTTTATTTTACACCGGAAATTCTGTTTAGCCTCGACTGATCATGAGAAATCATTGCCTAGTGATCATATTGACATAATCCTGGATGTCTTGGAAGAGAAGCCAATAATTTCTGAATCCCTCAATACTTCTAGTCCTATCACGGCTACTAATAAGACTGGCACAATATCTTCAACAGTCAAAAACTCTTGTATTCCTATTACTACTTCTAGTATCAACACATCCCCTGCAATTCCACCTAAGCCAAGTTATTTATCTAATGCAATTTATTCAACTTTACCTAACCGAAGTTCACATCTGGTAACTATCGTGCCTTATGTTTATAATTTACTTTATTATTATTATTATATTTATTGCCTCAACAATCTGTTCTTTTTTATGAGTTGTTTCTTATCCAGCATAGTATATCTGTGAATGCGTGTGTTGTAATTCATATGCACGTGATTCAATCAGTTAGTTAATACTAAAGTAATGTATGTTTTTTCAAAGTAGTAATGAATTTGTAGTTAGACATCTAACTTTTGGCCAATAAAGTCCTAGGTGTTCGAACCTCATTCTATCTTCTTCGATTTGAATAACTCTCACAGATAAAGTGTTAAACGAAATAAAAATATGCATTTTTCCTGATAAAAGGTTTATAGTGTATATTCTTTCGTCCTGTTATGGGGCTCCCTAACGGTTATCATTCTTGACCTCGCATCCAGGTGTCGAATCAATGACCGTACAATATCATAAATTAACTGAAATTAGACATTAGCGTTATTGGATCCCAATTCAGCAATCTAGAGGTTAAGTGCTAGGTGAGAAGTCCTGTGTTCTATTTCCTGTAAAAGTCAGTCATTGATGCGTACTAGGACGAAGTGGTCGTCCAGTGCTTCCAGGTTTTCAATGGTTGTTTAGCCATGATCAGTTCATGATTCGAACCGCTTAACTTCGAAAATTTTCACTATACTTATGACAATTTTGTTGAACAACTTAAAAAACTATCGATTATCCCCATTTAGTTTACTGACGTATGTATCTGATTTACAGGTATACAATTATCAGCAAAAGTTGCACATCTCGCTAACTTTAGTATTTAATACGAACCGACGTACTTCATGTAGCTGGTTCCCGTACATTACAATTTCAAACAAATAACATTTGTTTTATAGTATATAATAAATTCATTCTGTTGATTTTTTGTTTCCTCCGTAGATACATATAGGCTAATAGGTTGAGTGAGTTTCAAATATTACTTAAAATTTTGTAATTCTAGTAAGAAGTTCTGACCGGCGGAGTCCAACCATGTTGAATATCAGACATCTATACACTTACAGACAATGAGGGTCGCGCAATTTAGATACACACCGGTGGATGGGGTCTTAGTGGTCTAGGGGTCTAGTGTTCGTGAGTTTAGTCAGGTCGTTCGGTGATGGATATACACTGATGATGAGACCTATACTAGGATGAGACGTCCGTCCAGTGCTTCCAGGTTTTCGATAGTTGTCTAACTAAATATTGTTAAATACTTCCAGAATTCTTCAGAATATCAAGGCTACGCGTAGATCTTTAAATAATCGTGTTTTATGTACGTAAACTAACCTTGAATGAAAGATTCTGTGCTTATTACACACTTTCGCTCTGCCTTTCGGTACTCATGTGTAAGCGATTCTAAGGAACTGACAAGCGGTTAAAAATAGAAGTCAAGCTTCCAGATACCATATATATATATATATATATATATATATATATATATATATATATATATATATATCATTAGAAAAGAAAATAATAGTAATATAACATTCATTCAAATTATAGGTAACTAGGAAAGAGCCATATCAAGTTGCACTCTTTGAATTAATGTTATCTTTAGATGTACAGTGAAAAACACACTTTTCAAAAAATATATTATTTACACTGTTTATTTGTGTTACTTAGTGTTGAAGGTTGAACACTAGCACTTTTGTAAATAGTATAGGTCATACATTTTGTTCCTTGTTTACTCTTTTCAGATCAATAACAATTTAGTTTTGTCTTATTGATATTATTTAGTTTACATCACGAATTGATTTTAGTTATATAACCATTGAAAGAGTGTGCCATTAATCAAGTAGTTCATCCTGATTATAGAACTCATTGTTAGTGTACATGCCACCAACGTCTACCATATGGATGGAACCTAAGACTTTCAGATTATAAACTGACTGTGTAACCCACAAATCATTAAGTTGACATCTATTGGTTTAATATGTCTAATTTTATTCAGTCATCATCCAACTGAGATTAATATCTTGGATTACCTAACTGTTCTCCATGATCTAATAACATTTAGCAGTAAGAATAAACATTATTTAAAGAAATAAATTTCATCTATATGAGCTAAATCTTATTTCACATTTCAATTGTAGCTAGTTAACAAGATATTTCGGAATACGTGTTACGTTCAGCCTGTGGAGTAGATTTGTGTTTAACCCCAAGGTATTAATTGCATGCTTGAGGAGTGTGAAGAGCAGTGTATGAGAGAGAGAATCTGAAAGCAGAAAAGTTAACTAACAACTCAGTGATATATATATATATATATATATATATATATATATATATATATATATATATATATATATATATATATATATATGGCGAGACTGTAAGTATGGACGAACCCATCAGATTTATGATAACAGGTCTTGGATTTCGGCTCGAAGATCTTTAACCATTTGGCTAAGTAGCATCTTGGCATTTTATCTGATGTCAGTTCGTGATGAAAACCTTAAATATAATTTCTAACCACAATCCTTATTCTTCACACAGGTTTAAAACCTTCATTTAGACATTCTCAAGGCCTCTTTAGCTTCGCTCAAAGTTAGTCCGTAAATTGCAGTCTCATCGTATATATCGTATCTTCATGTGGTTTGTAGTAGCGTTCTTAAAATAACAACTGATCAAGTTTCCAATTTATAGTTTCACTTATGTTTATTTACTGTTTCCTTTCGTAAGATTTGTTATTTTGTCTTAGTGAAATATATGAGATGAACCTCAAATCCTATTTCTCCCTTCCTCCATCATTTTTCATTTTTTTAGAGTAGAAACAGTTCTGTTTTAGTTTGTTCAAATTTACCTGTCCTCTATGATTCTTCCTTCACGGAATCATCCCCAGATGCTTCTGTATCAACCAAGGAAGTTCAAATATCAACAGTGAATTCATCTAGTCATTTAGTTGATTCCTCAAAATATTCATTATCACAACATACAAATGGTAAGTCTTTTTGTATTCCATTAGGTAGTTGAGTTTTCGTTGTTGTGGGAACAAATGGAGTATGAACCTACTGTTTTTGGTCACTGGCTACCATAAAATAGCGTCTTCTAATTTCACTATACTGTCTTGTGGATTAGACATCTACGTCAAAGTATCTGAGAGTGGAGGTCCATATGCAAAAACAACTGCTTCGGTTTACGCACTCGGGTGGTATCCCAACACACACACATTTAATGAATCATGCGGCACATATATATTTTGGTACCCTTTGTATCAATGTTTATGTGTTCAGACTAATATATGCATAATTATGCGAGAAAAACATCGCCTTTAAAGTGATGGGAAAAAATGTGCAGCTAAAGTGTGGATATTCCGTTCGGCTGAATTTTCTAAATAAAACGGTTCGATTGTTGTTCTTAGACGTGTTTAAGCACTTCATGTAGGAATGAGCGTCTTAGTTTGTTGTTCAACGGTCTGTTAAAAGTATCGGGTTCGAGTCCTGATATGAACATCAACTCTCGAATACAGGTACATCCAGCTAATAAGTCCCAAACGCGCATCATGGATTCCACTGGCAGCCACATTCTATCCTTTTTTTGTATGAGATTCTTAATTGTTTCACAAGCCGTAAATCAGTTTGTTCTGATTCCCTTTTTTTGGTTGGTTATCTGATTAACTTTGAAATTGTATGAAGCTTTTATAAATATTACAAGTAAATAGAATAAGTAATCTATAGTCCTTTATTGTGTCATTACCTACTTAGTGAAGAGTAATAATAAACAATAACTCCTTAAACTGTATGTAAAAAAATCTACCTAGTAATATTATGAAATACAAATGTTTTTAAACACTAAACGTTATCATAGGTTTTTGTAGAGATTTTTGAATTTCCACAGATGGATACACCCTATTGTGGAGTCCTTTACTAGAACGAAACAGCTCTCTAATTTTTCGTACTTTTCAATGGTTTTTCAACTAAGACTGGTGCGTGATGTAGGTCTGCGAGAACTCAATAAACCACACTATGGCTCGCCGTACTGTTATTAATCATGTACTTAGTAGTAACTGCAATTCCTTTAGTTCTATAGAGAAGCTGTGACCAGTAGAGTTCAATCATATAAGATGACATATAGATAGCTAACCATCACAGACAATGAAATAGGATCGTGTGATATCATGAATTGACTGAAGTTGGACATAAACACCACCAGATCCCTTCTCAGTGGTCTAGAAGTCAAGCGTCATAATGTTGATCATCACTCCAGGACTGGAACCTGATACTTTTCGTTTTCAAATCCAACCATTTATCCACTAAAATATTAGATTCAGATAGCTGTTGTTCTGTGAAATAAGAAAATCCCTTCCAACTGGCCGTTACCAGTTCATAACATTATTACTTGTTTGAATGGCTCCCAAAGAACGCGAGGAAGCCTCCAGAGGCTGTAAGGGAACCGAAGAGTTTATATCTAACCAGAACCTGATAGAACCTTCTAGAATATCAATGTGGCTTGCTACGATAGGATTATTGTATACTTTTCCTACTTGCCAATTGGTTGATGTTATTGGACTATACTGAGAACTATAAATATTCCTGTTTTTCTGTACATTTTCAACCAATACTCAATAATCGCTTTCCCTGCCTCTTCGGTACCTTGATTTGCGATTGTGGAGGTTCTACTTGTTCGTGCGCCAATAATTGTATACCGTATTCTGTCATAATCAAGTAGAGGACGTAATACTATAGTTTGTTTATTCAATGTAACAATTCCTACTCAGATTGAAACTGAAAGTTACATTCTATACATATTCATGTTACTTTATATTAATATAAAAATGATGACTTATTATGTTTTCTTTTTCCCTGTTAAATTTTCATTAGTTTTATAGTAAAGATCGAAGTCTTGCTTAGGGCAAAACTAATCTATTGTATTGTGCAAAATCACACTGTCTTTGTGAGACATAAAAACAATACGTTCAATACACTGTTTGCCCATTTTCCTCGAGTTGTCTCTCACAAGCACCATTGTTCTTTTAACCCTGTTGTTTTCCTTCCTCTTCTGTCTATAAGAACTCCATTTTCAGTTCCTGATCCATACTACTTATATCTGTCTGTACAAGTAGCACACTTCACACTAGCGGCGAGATTACAGTTTCTAGACGAACCAATCAAATTTAGAATAGAATATCTTGAATTCTGGCACGAAATCAATTCATTCATTTGGCTGAATAGTTTTGGCATTATAGCTGATGTCAATTCGTGATGAAAACTTTAAATCTAACTCCGAACCCTAACTATCAACTGCAAATAATAATCCTAATTCCTCACATTGATCTATAGTCCTTCATTTAGCCGTAGTGCATATATAGGTGAACATTCCCAGGATCACTTTAACGTCGCTCAAAGATCGTCCATAAATTATAATCTCATCCAATTTAACTAATTTCATTGTATTAAATTCTCTTTCAGATAAATATGATTCTAGTCTTTATTCAACATCATCATTGAAATGTATTAAAAGCTCAAATAATTTATCAATACTCAATTGTAAAATAGGTGATCTATTAGAAGCTTTATATGATTGTGAAGCGGAAAATTCAGATGAATTAACATTTAATCGTGGTGAAATTATACAATTAATCGATAGACCAGATAATGATTGGTGGGTAAGTTAAATGATGATGATGATGAGAGATGGTTATTTCTTTTGTTTCTTTTGAAAACTAAAAATCCAACTTCCATTATAGTAATGTCTTGTATAGTATTTGTGAAGGTGAAAATAATAAATAGTTAATCGTCAATGGTATTAAGTTTGTTCATATATGATAAACTAAGGTTTAAATAATTATGATGTGTATTCTGACCCTGATAAAGTTTCAAAATAAGGCAACTATTCGATGGTTTGAACTTTTAGTGTTCCAGTGTTTAATTCAGTTTAATGCAGAGTTATTTTTGAATACTTTTATATATCAGAAGGGGTTTTGCGGATGTTATAGTGATTTCAATGATTGAGGTCATGAAGCAGTTAACCACAAGTTAAATAGCTCGGTGGTGAGATCCTAGATTGTGAACCTGGTTGATGCATGCTTGAATAAATCAGGGAGTATCATTACCCTCTTAGCTACAGGTTTACCTCACTTGATACGTGCCAACCAGCACGAAATTTCGATAGAGCAAAATGTCCTATCTATGACATTCAAAAAGACTAATATGTGTCACCTACGTCACAATTGACGTAATTTGACAAAAGCCAACCAAAGTCTCTGAATTGATGCCAACTTTTCTTCAGATAACAACGCACTAGAACCGATGTGATTTCAAAAGTAAATGCAGTGATCGATATTATTCTTTCACTCACCCTCCCTTCCACACAAACACTTTTAAATAAGAGATTTGTTTTTCTTCATTCGGTGTGCATCAAAACAGCTATTACCAGACCCTAAAGCCTAGAATTCATTTTTGTACACATTTTGTCTCTGGTTTTTACGCGTACAAATGTTTTGTAATGTGTAATAATGTTTCTTCAATAATATTACCACATAAATTGTATTGAAGTTAATATTATTACTACTACCATTATTATTATTGGCTGGGTGTTTTACCTATGAATTGTCATGTGGTCAATTCATTAGGTCAAATGTCGGGTTTTGTAGACCCGGTGAAATTAACATTACTTGTACACACACAAATATATATATATATATATCGTTCTTACCATCAACCACATTCCAAACTGTCATTCATGTATGTGTACAGTTTTTTTTGTAATCTAAACCAGCATATTTTGGTCATGTAACATTAATTCACGTTCAAATAACGAAGGATTGGCACGTTTATCTCAACATGGTATCTTATTTTGATCATACCACTGACATTTTATCGTCTTTTGTGACCTCCACATTTTTTTATTGTGTGTATTGTTTCTCATTTATTGGTTTAGTTATGAAGTGCACCAATAACATGATTATTATCAACATCATTACTTTGCTCTGCGTAATTTTCGCAATTTGTTCTTTTAGCTACTAACGAAATATAAGTAGTACACTGTTAGTTTGATAATAAGTTATCTTAACACATGCAAACGACTCATTACTTCAAATCACATTACTCTATAGGGAAGACACATTTGATGCTTTTTTCCGATGTAAATTCACTTCTGGGAGTTATATTCAACGAGTCTGTGTCTCATTGGCCTTGTGAAACTTTTCAGTTGTATAGCTATTAATTTAAATGCATGTTCACCGAAGGACTGAACGAACTATCCCGATATAAGTCACTTTCTCATTGTCATATTATCCTATCTATAAAAGTCTGGTTCTAGCATACAGTTCTCTACTGTAATCGTGCAACAAGAGCTACCCTAACTAAGGATATATCCAGCTCCTTTCTATTTTAGATCATTACTGTTTGTGAACGACAGCTTACATACAGTCAAAAGAAACTTACATCACGTTTTGGTTGACATAATTCTTTGAATGTTGCAATCTCAAGATATCGAGATGGTTTAGTTTACATATTTTACGCTTTCTGACTCAACGATTATTGATAGCGTCATGAATTATTACTTCATAAAATGGAATTTTACAATGGAAAATAATAACACAGGACCTGATATTTTTTGGGGCATCTTTATTATATATGTCAGTGACCCTAAACTTTATGAAACCCATTTCACAACAGTACCTAGATGCATTCTCATTGTTGTTCATACTTATATACCTAATGAACCATAAAATGTTTCTCGTAACCGAATTAAATATATCTTCATCGTGATATTGTTTAATTCGTGTACAATAAACTGAGATTTTGGTTCGGCATAGATTACCTCAATATACAGATTTTTCTATATACTCGATCGAATAAATGAATTGTGACTAGCATTAGGATATAGAATATTCACTTTGTTTTATTTGAAGCATTTCAATTGGCTCCTTCTAAGCCATGTTTAATAGAAAGTAACTAATTAAGATAAATATTTTAATCTTTAACGAAGCATTATTTTTGACTTTCGTTTTTTTTTTTATAGGAAGGTTTCATTCAATCAGACCCCAGTCGACGTGGAATGTTCCCAGTGACTTATGTAAAGCGTTTATCTGATAGGTGATTTATTTCAGTGCATTTTTATACAAGTTCATTTCTAACTTATTCTTATTCTTATCTTTATCAGCATTTTCACGGATTCTGTTCACATTGCTGAGCTACCGTCCACACCTTGATAATAATATAATTATTCCCATGATGTTTTTTTTTATATAATTTTCTTTTCTGTTTATTGATCCTTGGATAAAAGAAAACATTTGCCAATTACGAAATCACTTAGTCAATCATTAATAATTTTTGTTTTCATGCTGATCACATTATTGTTGTTTCTAAAGCGAATGACGATAGAGCAGAGTAACCACGTTAATATTTTTTTCCTAATCAATATTCAGATTTTCTTTTTTTGTTGTTGAGTATATATTTCATTGCATTATATTGTATATTTCTCGTTGTCACCATCTATATTCACTGTTGTGTCCATGGTTAAGGAAGGCGTCGATGATGTAATTGAATGGGTTGTTAAACCTTTCTGTTCAGGATATATATTGTTGCTGTGTGTATGTGTACATGTAACGTTGTTTTGTTTACTACGTTTCGTGCACACACACACATGCATACTTACATACACATGTTTATCATTCATGTATTATACTTCCTTATAATATATCCATCATTATTTGTATCTTCGTTTTCAGTATAAATTTGCCTCGAGTCAGTAGTAGTCTATACACGTTAACTACAAGTACTGTTTATATTCTACAATCTACGTGTAAATTATAATGTATATCTTTATTGTTATTATTTCTCTCTACTATATTTCCTGTATTCTTCAACAGAATGCATATATATATAAATATACTACTAATATAAGCTGTTTATTTGCAGTAGTCATTTCATTTCATCTTTTGGTCATTCAATAACTGTCAAATATAAAAGATCATATGTTCTTTTGTTCAGTGATAAATGAGCAGGAAATACATTGTACTGTTTGTTTATTTGTTTCTGCCTCATTCCGTTTATCCTTTCCCCTTCCATCATCTATCCACTTTTGACATATTGTTTTACACTTTTTTTTAAGAAAACAATATGGATCATATTAATGAATAATTAATTATTAGTCTGTTTATCTGTCTTTCAATCATACTGATGATGATAATAAGAAGAAGAATAAGACAAATCGCCATAATTCATCATAATCATTTCATGTGTATACACAACTATTATTTACTATTGTTCTGTTTATTCTGATTATGTACCCTCGTATTGTCCTCTCCCACCCCCTCCTTTATCGCCGCTCATTTTCCTCTCTATGTATTATATTCTATAAATTGTTCTAGTGATTCATGTTCTCTTTTTGTTCCTCCTTATTCTTCAAAATAAATAAAAAAAACAATATTTTCATCATATAATTTTGTTAATTTCACTACTGATTCTATTCATCAGTAGTAGTAGTAATAATAATAATAAAAGTATAATCGCTCACGTAATTTGCCACAGTGATTATTTCATTGTTTTAACAGTTTATTTGTTTGTTTGTTGTTTTGCCCTTGTCCATTGAGAGAACTATGATAATATTTGTCTATCCTACTCTATTCTACTCTACTATCTTATGTATACATGTGTGTATGTATGATTTGTATCTTGGATTCGAATTTCTTGCCCGTTTTTTTTTAAAATTTTTATTTCATAGTATTAACCTTTACATAATAATTCAACCTTATCATGTTCAATGGTACCACTATTATTACTATTACGAATATTATTTCTAATAATTACTGTTGATAATAATAATAATTCATATTTATTGAATTATTAACGTTTTTGCATTTCCTGTTATTGAATTGTTGTATGATTGAGAAATGTTAAAGGGAGAATGTTGTAACGTGTGTGACTGCAGGTTAGATGGAGCAACGTTTTATTGATCGGTTACAGTGACACGTAAATACGTACGAACGACCTAGTGTCCTGATTGGCCCTGCTTCCCTGTCTATCCCAGCCAGTTGAGTCCAGAACGCAAGTCACAGCATCTGAGATATGAATCATTATATTTCAGACATACTCTATTTATATACTAACCAAGCAGACCACATCGTACCATAAAAATAGAAAACAACATTTACACAATATTAAACAAGTGAAGCAAATATCGACGAATAGGAAATATACATTTAAAGTCCAAGGACACCATTGGACTTAACATGATAATTATTGGTCTATCCTTCCACATCCACAACAGAGAAAAATGAAATACATGATATTTCATCGTTTACATAAATGTTTTGGTACGGTCGAGAGTGGGGAGAGTCCACTCTCCCTCTCAAAATGCCCTCACATAACCGCGCGTATATAGCCTCTGCCAGGGAAGTCCTACTCACTGCCTTCTCGTGGCGGGGGTGTTGTTTACGAAAATGAGAGGACGAAAAGCGAATTTCCGGTGCTTTAACCGGATCCCAAACTAATGGTGCACATGAACTCCAGTATCCTGCGGGAACAAATGGCGTATGAACCAATTGTTGGTCGCCGGCTTCCATAGGACTGCATCTCCTTACGCTGCTCCACTGGCTTGTGGATCAGGTCGAAGGCTCGGGGTGTGGCCTCCTAAGAAAACCACCTGCTTCAGTTTGGGCACCCGGGCAGTATCACAGCCCTTACATATATCGAATGAGATTTGTGTGGCGCATATGTATTTGGTGCCTCCTTGTACCAATATCTATGTGTTAAAATAATAATAAGGTGTTGGTTAGAAAGTAACCGATAAGTAATTTTGTTACGTAGGTTTCGTGTTATTTGGCAGTCGTCAGTATAGTGTACCTGTAATCTTAAAGAAATTGATAGATTCGATCTCGCGTCCCTTAAGCTTTACAGTCAAAGACTATGATTAAACTGTTGGGACTGAGATTTACCTTATTTAGGATTGAGGTTTATCAACATATTGATCACTACTCAGTGATCAATCAATCGTAAACCAATATTAGTTAGGTAACCATAGGCAATCAGGAAGCTTGGGACAGCTATTCTATCTTGGTATTAAACTTCTCAATTCCAGTGCATGTCTATGATAGCAACACAAGGGATTGAATTCAAGATATGGATAATTATCTAGGCTGTGAAGCTAAACTCTGATTTTCACCTTGTATGATAAAGACAATTCGAACTTATCAATCATTTATTGATCATCATAATTTCATTAAATGGAACAGAGTTAGTGATTTTAATTGATTTACTAATGGATATTAAATATCTTGTGTAGATAATTGTTTATAAATACTTATACCTTCTTGATGATGGTTGTATTAGTTCTCCACGTTTCATATCCGTACTATAGAACTAACTGTTTCGACATTCGTGTTGAAGAGTGTAACTTTGATATTAGTTGACATTTGTTTTGAGCTCAAAATGTTCTTCAATTATACAGGAATGCTTTCTTTGCTTTTTTAACCCATCCCTTCATATACGTATCAGATCCCCCTTTGTTTATCGATGATTTTATATTTCAACTTAAAAGTATTTTATTAAATATAAGCATAGATGGATAGTGACTAGAAATGGAATCCAGTTCGATGTGCATTTCATTCTATTTGGAACTGGTAAGCTGGATGTACCTGCATCTCATAGTTCATGTTCACTCTAGTACTCGAACCCGGTAGCTTTCACTTCAAACGCTATCGCGTTATCCACTTAGCTACTGAGTCCTAATAGCAACTTGCTTGTGCAATGGGGTGAAGTTTAAATTCACACGATATCTTCCCATTATTATGACTGTCTTTATCAGTCTCTTATTGGCATATGTGCATCCTGTGTGAACTGCCTCGATATTACTTTAATTCACAAGCATCATAAGCAAAGATTAGTAGTGGCTTGTAGTGGAATCCAATTTGACACTCGTTTCGTCCTACTTGGAGCTCGTCAGCTTGATGCGCCTGCATCTCAGAGTTCATGTTCACTCTGGGACTCGAACTCAGTATTGTTCACTTCAAACTCCATCGTGTTATCCAATAAGAGACTGATCAATTGCACTGCTAAATATCAATGGGAAGATACAAGTTAACAATAGCAAGTAAATTTAATTAATTAACTTGTTTTTCTTTTCATTATTTCCATGTTATAAAGACTTTCTAACTCAAAATTACTGAAGCATCATCAAAGAACTCATTGAAACATAACTGTTTTACGTGATAATGATAAAGTGGATTTACTTTACGTGAAAACAGAAAACTAGGTAATCATTATACTTTTTATTCATAATCATAATAAAAGAATCTATCTACATCAATGAATGTTTAGGTTAATTAAATTTACTAAACATAATTAGATCAGTGGCTTTATATGATTAAGGCGTTCGACTTTGAACTACTAAGTCTCTTGTTTAAATATCCTTCACCTACTTTGATCTAAACAATCAGGTAACAGTTCACTTGGTATTGTTTTACTTGAATCTTCCCATTGATGTTTTAGTACTAAAATTGATCAGGACGAAACGCGCGTCATGGAATCCATTGCTAGCCACTATCCATCTTTGTTTATAATCAAGTAACAGTATCACTAACCCTAGCACCTAAATGCCCTGCTACGGCCGAGAGTGGGGAGTGTCAGCTCTCCCTCTCAAAATGCTTTCACATTTCCATTTGCATACAACCACTGTCAGGGAAGTCCTGCTCATTGACTTCTCGTGGCATTACTATTGTTTACGAAATTGAGAGGATGAAAAGCGGATGTCCGACGCATTGACGGGGTTGGTGGATATGGAGGATCCATATAGGGGAGTTTGGGAACCTTGATTCCAAACCAGTGGAGCACATGGGCTCCAATGTCCTGAAGGAACAAATGGTGTACGAACCAATTGTTGGTCAGCGACAACCAAAGAACTACATCTCCTGACGTTTCTCTACTGCCTTGTGGGTTAGACCTTAAGGTCGAAGGCTCCGGGTGTGACCCCCTAAGAAAACCACCTGCACCGTTTTGGGCACCCGGCAGTATCCCAGCGCTCACACAAATCGAATGATTTATGTGGCTCATATCTATTTGGTGCCTCCCTGTACCATTGTTTATGTGTTTAAATAAATAATCATCAACCCTCATACTTAGAGTTTACCTTATACGTAAGTATCGTGTGATCGAGTTAAAAACTGAACACAATCTGATTCATTTCATCAAGTTTGTATTATAACTCCATTGGATAGTTGAACTCAAAAGATAATAGTAAATGACTGGCATAATCTAGCTGTCAGTTGAGATAACAAAGTTCAACGGAACAGAAAGATGACTGGTAAAAGAAATTGAACAACAGGGAAATCACAAACTTACTGTCTTGATAGAAACTAATCATATATAACATTAGGTGTTTCAGCAAGTTAACAAATTAATACAATGAGTTACATAGTTTAAAGGTTTGCCTGATCTTACTTATACAGAAAGTGAAAACCAAGGACCACTAAACAGCTGTTTTGTCCTAGCATGGCATTGCCAAGCAGCGCACACCTGAGATCTAATTTGTGACCGTCAAACGCCACAGCGAACGCCGAAACTTTAAACCATTAACTCAAGATCCAATGGTCTAGATCAATAAGTACTTCCGTAATGTGAACAGTCTCCGAAAAATCTAAATACTAACACTAATTATGTATTCACTAGTAATTAACCTTGACTTGTAGAGTTCATCCATATGGTCTGTAAGGCATTTAGTGATAAATGGTATTAGAAGACAGTTTTTCATATCACGAGTTGATTGAAGTTTGATATGTCCATTATTAGATTCTGTGTTACTTACTTACTTACACCTATTACTCCTCTTGGAGGAGCATAAGACCTCCATCAGCACTCTCCATAAAACCATGTCCTGGGCAATCCTTTCCAGATATTATTCCTCCTTTTCAATCACTCAATTCAAGATCAAAAAGTCTTGGATTTCATCCTCTTTAATAAGATCATCCTTTATGTACTCTTCAATAGTTAGATATTATGATGAAACAGATATCTAATTCTTTCTAACTTTCAGTAATAAAGTTCTAATCAATCTGTAATATAAATTATGAAATTTAACAGTTTCCGAAAACTTTTTCATCTTATCAACAACAAAAAGAAAAACAAAAAAATTTTATTGATTCGCACAAAGTAAAAAATAAATAAATCGAATGGAAAATTTTTTTTAAAAAATTTTGGCGGGGGGTTGATTATATTCCCATAATGAGAAATATTATTTCATTGATTATACTGAACAAAATTATCCATGCCATTTATTATAACACTTCATTAAATCTATCAACAATAAATTAAGCTGGAATTTATTTTATTACTGAATATATATATTACTTACACTTGTTACCCCTCGCGGAGGGGAGGAGCATAGCCCAATCACCAGGATTCTTTTTACTGAGCAATCCTTCCCCGTTTCTATTCATCGTTTTCATATCTGCTTGCTTCATGATGCAATATGATGATGATATATATATATCCGGAAGATTGAACCGAGCTTCTGTTGTGTACTGGTTGTGGTAGTTATTATCACGCTTCGTGTTTGAAATAACCTTGACAACCAAGTCTCACAATTTGCATAGGATGGCAGTGTGTAGAATGCAAAACTTGTTTGATTTGTAAGTAATTTATCATCGTGAAATCTACATTCGATGATATAAGGATTTCTTAAACAGCAAAGCAGTTTAAAAATACGTTTCTCAGGCGAATAAACAAGATGAATTAGGTATTTTATAATTTTTTTAGCGAGACTATAATTTATAAACGAACCAATCAGGCATAAGATAACAGGGTCTCACACTTTAGTTCAAAATTCACTCATCTATTTGGCTAAACAG